GGCTCTATAAAACCTGGAAATCCCCCAAGCTATGCATATGTTTGCACATATGCATATGTACTTATTAATATCTGTAGAGCACAAAAAATCAATCTACTCTAATGCATTGGCACGCACACCGTTGTATATTGTTTGTGCACACATGCACGCGCACACACACACATGTGCACAAAAATTAAATTGCAAGACTGCACAAAACAGTGGCAACCTCGTCATCACCATCATCATCAGCGTCGTCGCCGTCGCTGTCGCCCGCCCACCAGCAGGCACGCACGCAAGTGTCAACTGTCAACAACTCGCACTATGATTGAATTGTGCGCATCACTTCGCCACTGGGCAACTGTGTAAGAAAGAGAGCGCAACACAAGAAGAAACATCAAAATGAAATGCGCTTGGCAACAAACGTCATCATCGCCATTTATTGCGTTCCGTTATTTCGAGTGCAGCGCCATTCAGACATTCACTTAAAGCAAACTGCATAAATATTTGTGCGCACTTCATTGAATTGGCTTCGTTTCTTTTTCTCACTCTCTCTTCTCTTGTGGGGTTTGGCAGCCACCCACACATCGTTCGTTCTTCTGTTCTGTTTCTTCGTGGCCCCACTTCATTCTATCCCTCTATCTCCTTTACTCTCACTCTGTCATATAGTTCTTATTTGTGTGTTCGTGCTTTGCGCACTTACGGGCAGCATGATCAATTGCAGTCTCTGCTTGAATGCCTCACTGAATCCTTTTCGCACGCGTACTGCTTGTGCTGTCTCTTTCCTGCATATTATTTATATTCGTGTTATGGTTTTCTTGCTTTGCCTTAGTTTCTCAATGCATTTCATTCATTTCTACTTGCAAATTAATCGGTTTAATTGAATTAAATCACAGGAAGTGTAATTTACGAAATGTGTCTCAAGTTTAACTTCCGTGTTTGCACAAGTTCTCGCATAATAAGTGAAGTGAAGTAACGTCGAAGTATCCGCCAACTGAGCATAGCCTATAAAGACCTAGCGAACTTGCCTATCCTATCACGTACTATACCACCTTTATCTATATATGCAAATCGGAAGCAAAGTAATTAAGACAAGTGCCAATCGAATTAACTACTGATTATAAGGAATTTCTATACATTTGAAATAAACCCCGTGTTGCATTATTTAATACAATTGAAATCAAGACTATAACTTTAAATATACACATACATACATACATATATTTTTGCAGAGCCAATAAATTTTATTATTAATTATTGTAATTATTATTATTGGTTACTATTATTATTTTTAATGGATCAAATAAGCTGTATAATATTCGTTACGTAATATACTATGATAATTATAGTTTTAAAATAATTTTCAAAGAAAATTTCAACATAACATATTTGCAAACAATATACTTCGATGATTATTTTTGTATCTTTGAAAACTTCTCCTAAAAAAAATCACACATGAAAACGTGCAAAAAAATTCTTACGATCAAAGAAATTTTGCTAATAAAAACCAAATCATATCACTCCAGTTAATATTTCCAAGCAGTTTGTAATACAAACTTTGCATATAATAAAATATGACATTATAAATCCTGAGAAATGAGTCAAATAGAATTTTCACTACGATTGATGGAAAGACTTACATTTTTCCCACGGATTGGCCGGCTCGAGATATCCAGTAACAAGCTCCTTATCACTTTCCGGGAATGAGACGCGACGCGGCATCGCTGATGCACTAAATGAGCTGTCCGAGAATTTCCGCTGCAGTAGACTGGGCGCTGTGGCATAGCCGCCGCTGCCGGTGCCGCTGTAACTGCTTCTGCCCATGCCCACGCCCATGCCAATAGCCTCGATCGATCCGGCATCGCTTTTGTTCGAGCTGGAATTGGATGCAAGCGAATCGGTTCGCCACACGGCGCTCTGTTTGGCGCCGTGATAAATTCTTATTTTCTGTTGCTGCTGCGTACGCATCTGAACATCGAATGCTGGCTCTGTCACTGTTTGCGATTCGTTCGCAACGCCAACTGCGCTGGCAGTGCTTGGGGCAGCAGCAGAGGCAGCGGCAGAAGCAGCGTGTGAGGCATCAGCTGTTGTTGCTAATTCTGTGTGCGCTGTCGCAGCTGACAGCGGCAATGGCGTCGATGTATTGTTGGCTGTCACTGTCATTGTTGCTGTTGCTTGACCCTCAACAGCTGCAACGGCAACGGCAACGGCGTCGGCTGCAGCGGTATCAACAACAACTACATCGATTGTTTCTTGTTCCGTTGCACTTGTCGATGCTGATGCTGATGCCGTCGCTGCTGCTGCTGCTGCTCCTGTTGTTGGTTCTATTGTTGCCGTCGCGTTTGCAAGGTGCGTTGAAATTGTTGGCTCCGTTCCATTGCCAGTTGTTTCTGTGGGGGCCATTGCTGTTGTTGTTATTGTTTCTGTAGCTGTTGTTGTTGTTGACGTTGATGTTAATGTTGCATTTGGCGCGACATTTTCATCAATTTTATTCAACATGATACTAAACTAATTTGCTTTCTTTATGTTTTCTGTTTCAATTCGAATGTTCCTTTTTTTTGTTGATTTCTTTTGTTAGTGAAGTTTTTCCTTTTTATTTTTACAAACAATTTCGTTGGGTATCTTTGGTTGAAACATTTACATTTTTACGGAAATTTCAAATGCAATTGGTCAACAAAATAAAATTTAGAATATATACATACATATGCGTGTGTATGTGCATTCACTTGTATGTGTACGTATATACTTGGTCAGCACTGTAAATAAAATTGGTAAAATAAACTTTTTATATACATACATACATACATTACAATTCACATATCAGCAGCACAACGTTTCATTCTAATCAGAACATTTACAAACACAAAATTTTCCTCTCTAAAAAACGCACACACAAAATTTTCCATGTAAAAATGGTTTCAAAACAAAAGTCAAACAAAAAAAAAAAAATCTGCGGCATTGAAATGAGCGCCCGTTGCTCTCTTGCTGTTGCGTTCTCTTTCGTTCTCTCTCTCTCGCTCTTGCTCTCTGTCAAACAACGAAACGACGACGCAAAAGAGAATGCCGTAAAAACATTACCTAATTGTTGTTATTGTTTTTGTTTTGTTGCTTTTGTTTCACATTTGCGAGCGAAAACAGTGGGTGGAGGAAGGCAGGCAGTAGGGCGACTGTGTAGGTTCGACAGCTCTGCCGCTATATTCTTGTTTTCTTTTTTTCTACATTAATTCCATGCCATTGCCGTTGTTATTGTTGCTATCCGTTTTCCCCATGCACATTTTGTATTTTTGTTTACCACTCAGCCTGCCTTTCTCTCATGAGACGTTTTGTCGTGTATGTGTGTGTGCGTGCGAGTAACACGCGCCCTGTTGCATGCAAAATTCAAATTAAAAGCCAATTGCAATTGGTAATTACAAACTGTCAAGAGGGACGGACAATCGCGCACGCTCTTGATGTTATTTCTATTTTTTGTTTTACTTTTTGGCAATTTGAGTTGAGTATTTGTTTAGAATAAATATAAATTACGTCACATTCTATATCTCTCCCTCATTCACTCCAACATTCTCTCTCTTTCACGCACTCTCTCACTGGAGAGTGAACTTTATAAAAAAAAAACTTCATTGTTGCTGGCATTTGTATATGAACAAAGGATTTTATTACATTTAACTTCAGTGCATAGAATTTTGGGCGCAATGGTATATTTTTTTATTTTTGCATTCAATGGGGGCTAACTTTTGCTTTGCTTTAGGCGCTATGCACTCCACATTTTATTGTTTTTGTTACACTTTGGCATTTAGTTGCCTTTACTTTGCACATTTTTTAACCATAGCTGATTTATAAATATACATATATTTTTATTGGCCCATTCTTGTGCACAGATATTTTGATTTGTTACACAATATACATTTCAGTCGAGGCGTGCTATTAAATTGACGAGAAAATTAAACATACAAAGTAACTAAATCGCATCCGAACAACAACCAACAACAACCGATCACAAAGACGTTTAAAATGCAAAAGGTAGAAATCGAAAATAATGAGCAGCAGGAACACGCACTGACACTGCTCTCCTCTCTCGCTCTCGTTCTCGCTCTCGCATCGGAGGCTCCCTTGGTGACAGTGATGCGCATTGTAAATCACGACACAATATTAAAATCATTTATAATCTTATATATTCACATTGGGATAAGGTATAATATATCAAATATTATGTACGTCTACATATATTTGTGTGTTATGCATTTCTTCAAATTTTATAGATACTTCGGTTATATTTTGTCGCGCATCTACACTTAACGCACCAAGCACGGCACGCGCACAGATCTAATCTTTGACAGCGCGCACAGCGTTGCCAGAGCGACAAAAGCGCACTTTTATTTCTTATCATAGCGAATTTTACACGAAATTATATTTCTTATAAATACAAATATTTTGCATTTGTTAGTAAATTCTGAATATGATATTCAGTAAGCCTTTGTTCAAAAGACAAAGCCATAATTTTGAAACAGCACATCTGGCAGCGCACTTTATATCGCGCTCTTTTTGCGTAGCCCTCCCCTCCCAACATTCCGATTTTATGCACATGAAAACGAAAATATTGAAACTATTGATATTTGCGAAAATAAATAAACTTGTGTGATAACTTTAAAGTAATGAAATTTCACTTTTAAGACCAGCACACGGCACGCGCCATATATCTTGTATTTAGAACCACAACACGAAATGAAAGCATTGATGACGAAAAAAAACCTTTTTGTTTGAAAATGTCCTTTATTATTTGCTTAACTATCGCGTACACAATTAAGCGCGTTTCATTTTTGCACATTCGGTTTACAAAAAGTAGACTAAAGCGTTTAAAATGTAGCTATGCCAGAGACTATGCAATGTGGTCGCTGCAAGTATATGACAAAATACACACAGTGTGTTATTTATTTTAAAATACCAAAAGTAAGGTGGATTCACAAAGAAGTAATTCTAGAACACTTTAGTATTTATATTGGGAGATTATATGGATTTATTTATAACAGTGTGGCAACATCGAAACGCAGCTGTTATGACGAAAAGCCAACTCAGCTAATGTGAAGAAATTTTTTATACACAAAAAAAGTTTTGCACACAAACCAAACTACAATTAAGGCCGCGGATTAGTCTAATTGAATTGTAAACAGTGCAGAAATAGAAAACAATGCAAAATGCGGCCAACAAACGCAAATGCCCCTATCAAGACGCTGTGGAGTGACTTGCCCCTCTACTTGGCCATCGCCTTAACACTTTCCCTTTCAAGTCTTCCAACGACGTGGGCTTTGTCCGACAAAAGACTGTGCGCTGACGAAAAATGTGAACGTAAGTAAAGTATGCGCAGAGAGAAAAACTTTATCTAAAATTGATAAATGCTAAAATCAGTGTAACTCATTGAACCCTGACCCATTTTCTAGTTTATATTTCATCAATTGTTGTACTTTTATATTCCTCGAACGCGAACAGAGATCATCTCATTAGGTAGTGCTAAGATCACTTATGCATCTGGAGGGAATGGAATGCTGTCATTCAAGACTCATTCACCGGTTCGCATCATGTCCAAAAGTGCCGGCAGCGAGCCTGAGCTGTGGGGCGTTGAGATCAATGGACGTCGAGGTTATGCCAACAAGAACTACATCATGGAGAACAAAATACTGATCAAAGATGGGGACCTCAAACATGAAGTGCCTGTGGTTTGGCCACCCAAACCACCAGCAGCAGCAGAAGCAACGCCCGTCGCTCCAGTGGCAACGCCCGTCCCTCCAGTGGCAACGCCTGTCGCTCCAGTGGCAACGCTCGTCGCTCCAGCAGGAACACCCGTCGCTCCAGAAGCAGTTTCCATTCCCAGTAAGGCTCAGGCAGAGCAGGAACCACAGCAGAAGCTGGAAGAAGGGCATCCGGTGCAGTCAGTGCTCAATGCTTCCGAAACAAGTGAAGATATAGCAACAACAACCACTTCACCACTGGACACGCTCAAGCTGTCCATTCTGACGGAGCAGGAGCAGAGCACCAGCGGCAGCAATGAAGTGCCTTCACCCATAACCCCTGTGCAGCCCAACTTACTGCTGGTTGATGGTACGGAACTGCCGCTTGAGGCTGTGCCCGGCCTAACGGAACGAAACCAGAATGCTTCCCAAGCGGATGAAGTCAAAACGGCAACCCAGAGCAACAATGCTGAGTTGGCAGAGGATCTCACGACAAGCGACGACGAATTCGACTACGAAGACGACGAAGAGAGTTTGAACGACGACGAAGACAACGACAACGAGGCGACGCTGGACAGCAAAGTCAACGACAATCAAGACAACTCGAAAGTACAGAGCAAAGCAACTGCTGAGGCAACAACAACTGCAACGAAAGCAAGTCCAGCTGCAATTGAAGCGAGCGCTGAGCTAGCAAAGGGAGTCAATGAAGCTGATAAGCATCCACAAGGTGACCAAGCTCAGCCAGGAATTGCTGCCAAGTCAATCGAGGCTCCGCTGCTTGTAGAAACGCGCAACGTGAGCGCACTACCCGAACAGGCGCAGCTGCAGGAAGAGGCACGAGCTAAAGCAGCTGAAGGGTTGGGACAGAAAGAAAAAGATCTAGAAATTCAGTCTGCCTCAGAAGCCAGTAAAATTGATAATAACAATGTGAATTTACAAATCATTGAACCAAACACTCAGGAAAAAGTCACCGCTGATGCCTTACCCAGCCAAACAGAACCTGTAACTAAAGCAACAACTGAGCAGACGATTGAAATAGTGGAGCAATTGGAAGATGCAGCAAAAGTAAATAGCAGCGACATCTTGCTGGGAGGAGAAATCAAAGCGGAACAGCTGCGAGAGCCACAACCAGATGCTAAATCAGCTCAGGCAAGTGGGAAAGAAGATGTTAAAGTGGATGTCAAGGCAGCAACTGCACCAAAGGTGGAAGATGTCATTGAGCCCAATGAAGCAGCTCAGCAGCAAGGAAAAATCGATGCAGAAGGAGCACAGCTAAAGGCACAAGAGATTGTGACTCCTGCAGTGCCACAAGCAGCAGTCGATGAGGTCAGCTCAACGGCCAGCTCTAATGAGCAGCCAGCAGTAGCGCCCATTTTGCCATCATTATTCAACCAGCAGCATTTAAATAACCCAAACGAATACTACAAGCAGCTGCAGCAACAGCAACAACAACAGCCTCAGCAACAACAACCACCACAGGAACAGCAGCAGCAACAACCACAGCAGCAACCGCCACAGCAACAGCAGAAAGAGGTAGAAGAGCAACAGGAAAGCAAACAAAACGAACAGGAAAAGCTACAGAAAGAGCAGCAGCAACAACTGCAGAAGGAGGAGCAACTGCGGCAGCAGAAACAGGAGGAAGAGGAGTATGAAAAATTGAGACAAAAGGAGGAGGAAGAACGACAAAGGGAGGAAGCACAACGACAACAGAAGTTAAAAGAGCAGCAGGAGGAGCAGGAGAAGCTGCGACTGCAGGTGGAGGAACAGCGAAAGGAACAGTTGCGAAAACAAGAACAACAGCGCCAACAGTTGCAGCAGGAGCGAGAACAGCAACAGCGAGAACTGCAGGAGGAGCTGAAACGTCAGCGCGAGAAGCAAAAGCAACAGCAACGGCAACAGGAGCACGTACAGCACACCACGCCATCTGCAAGCGCATTCGATAATCCCTATGATGCTGTGTATCAGGCGGAGCCAACTGCAGCGCCAGCAGTTGCAACTGGTTCGGTGGAGCCAATGGGCCTGCCGGCAGTGCCCGCCGAGACGCCCAAAGAAGAGGCTGCACCCGGAGTGGGGCTATTTGGCACCATTATGAATACTGTCAACTCATTCATATCCAACGAACATCACAATGAACCCAAGACCGAGTCGCTAACGGGCAGCGATGAGCTGCATCGCTTGCTTTATCCAGATGCGCCAACTTCAAAGGGTAAGTCCCACAAGTACATGATAGATATTTTAGATAAACAATAATATTTTATAACAAAATTTGGAAGAAATAGCCGAAACATGTTTGGTTTTTTTTTTTTTTACAAGTTTCACTGAACCATTCCGGGTTTGACATTTAAAACACTTTTAAATCAGTCAACAACTCAACAAATAAAGAAACTTGAAAATTTATATTAATTTGTATACAATATTTCATATATTATATTTTTGGCTCAATATAAATATATATAGAATAAATACAGTTCAGCAATGTTCTTGTCTATGCAAGATTTTAATATAACCCAAGGTTCGCACCAAAGTAATTTCTATATAACTATATAAATTATAATAATTATCAAATTAATTTATTAATATTTTTATAGAATTTATATTCGAATATATTACTGTATACTTTATTAAAACTCTACATTAAATTTACAATTCATTTATAATTTAATTGTAATTTCTAATCTATATTCCTATAGAAGATTCCTTATCTGAGGGCTATTGCACGCGTCCTTCGGACTCCAACTGCCATGCCTCCGTTAGCCTGGACAACTTTGTGGAGGTGTTGGCCGCGAAAGTGCTGGACCACAGCCTGTTGTTGCTTTGCGTGGTCATCGCGGCTGCCTCGTCGCTGTTCTTCCTGTTCACCTACTATTGTTTCTGCAACAGCAGCCAGGAGGGCGCGCTGCTGTCCAAGCTGAATCATCTGGAGCGCAGTTTGTTGGCGGCACACAAGGAGAACCTCATCATAAAGCACGATCTGATGACGACGCGCACCAAACTGTCCAGCATTGAGGATAACTCCTTTGGATCAAATGATATGGTGGCGGCTTTGAAGAAACAACTCGAAGCGGAACTCTATGAGAAGGCGCAACTGCAGGAGCAGGTTAGCTCCCTGGAGAAGGTAAGTCTCTCAAAATATAATTCTATATAAATAATAATATATCAATATGCCTAACTAGGATTTGGATAATGCAGCCGAAGCTGGCTTGGAGTTGAATAAAATGCTGTCCGAGGTTTTGAATAGCCAGAATGGCGATGAGGCTTTCATGAACACCGTCGATGAGCTGCAGCGACAGCTTAACGATCAAGAAAGTGAGTTAACATCAGTTTCATTTAACATCGACTAAATCATTTGCCACATTTGTTCCCCACAGAGATCATCATTGACATCAATGCCAGCTTGGCTGAGAAGAGTCGCGAGAACAGCGAATTGCAATATTCGTATACGGAATCCACGACACGCTTGAACAGCGAAATGAAGTCGCTGCAGCAGGATAACTACGAGCTGGAAATGGAGAAGTCCAAGCTGCAGACACGGCTTGAGGAAATCCAGGTGGAATCCCAACTGGAGCTGGCCAAGGCTCTGGAGGCGCGTAACTTTGAGATGCAGCGGCTGCAGAAACAGATAATGGAACTGAATGCCAAATACGATAAGGAGCATAGTGAACTGCAGACTAGCCTGGCCAAAATCGAGGCGCTGGAAGAGTGCTTGAAGTCGATCAAGAAGGATGGCAACGCCAATGTCAAGGAGCTAATATCAACGGCCAAATTGCGTGGCGAACTCAATGCGCTGCAGCAGAAGTTCAAAGCGCTACAGACCAAATTGGAGCAGGAGATGGAGAACAAGGCGCGGCTCGAGAGCCAGCTGGAGGCATCCAGCGCAGACGTGGAGCAGCTCAAACAGGACTTCAATCAGTCCGAACGCGACAAGCTGGAGGCGCAAACACGCCTCGAAGTGCTCTCTGGCTACTTCCGGGAGAAGGAAACGCAACTGCAAAAGTGGGTGCCATTTAAGATCACTTAGTGGAGCTTAAGCTAGGCAAAGTATTGCTTGGAAAAACTTTAGTTTTTGTTTAGATATGAGTTATCTTTGTGTACTTAATGCTCTTAAATGACCACGGCATATGGATCAACTAGAGATCTATTGTTCATACTATCCTAAGACTTTAAATTTTTGCCTAAACTTTTGTATTCAACCTCAAAATAATCGTAACTTTTGCCTTTGCAGAGAGCTCAGTTTGCAGGAGTCCAAGTGGTTGCAGCACCAGGGCGAAAATGCCAGCACTGTGGAGACGCTAACGCTGATGAAGAACGAAATTCAGCTGTTGAAGTAAGTGAAAGTCAGTTGATATACAAACATTTATGCGTATCTATAACAACAACAATTGCCAGATCTCAAAACGATGAGCTGCGGGCCGAGATTGAGGCGCAGATTGCCTCCCACAAGGCGCAGATGGGCACGCTGGAGAATCGTGCACACGAATCGTGGCTGGCGGCGCGTCAGGCCGATCGGCGGCGGGAGGAGGCGCAGGCTGAAGCCGCCGGCTATCGGCGTCAGATGACAGCCATGGCCAGCGGAGTGGGCGATGTGGCGGCGGATGTATTGGCCACCAATGGTGGACTGGGCGCGCCGGAGCAGGCAAACGCTCCATCGCCGGTGCCATTGCCGCTGCCCTTGCCGGGCTCGCCGGGGCTGCTCAACATGCCCAACCCACTGCCATTCCTGCCGGCGCCCTTCTCGCCGTTCATGGGGCTGCCGCCATTCTTGCCACCACCAGTGGTTGCTGGCGGTGCACGCCCGCCTCCGCTCGGCCGCATGCGCTCGCCGCCGCCGACGTCGTCGTCCCGGGATCGCTATTCGCCGCAACGCGACGACCGAGACGACTACAGCGATGATGATGACTACTACGACGATGATGATGACGAGCGCGGCACGGATCGCCACAGGCGACACAGCGGCAGCTGGGGCCGCCCACGCCGCGACTCGTACAGGCAGTCGCCGCGCACGTATCGCTCGCTGTCGCCATCGGACAGCCGCTACAATTACAATGAGACGGAAACAGACTTCAGTCCGCCGCCCAGCCCAACTCCCCCGCGCAAGAACAGCTCACGCACCGTCAGCGAAGTTTGAAGCATCAAAGGCGGCACCGAGTACTTCACGAGTAGTGGACAAACGCATCCTAACCTATAATGTGCGAGTAGTTGCAGAAACTCAAAACTAGTGCAAATCTATGTATATTTATTATTGATCATCGGATTAACTACGACTTAGGGGGACTCACACACTTATACACAAACACAAACACACACACACTCACACGATTCCCACATTTCGAGAGAGACATTATCAAATCTAACATCAAATCAATGGCTCAATGAGAAAAATGATATCAAATTCAAAACTATAAAAAATAAACCAAACATTAAAAACACCAAAAATAAACAATTTTTAAATTTTAAATTAGTAAATTTAGCACTAAAGCCAGAACTTATTAAAAATATTATTAATATTTTATTGCCCACGTACGAGCTTTACAAATTTGTTTTCGGTCTGGCACAGCTAATGCCATAAATATATATTTCCAATTAAGTGCAAAACTTTTCTGTAAACTAGTAACTTTTTAGGCAAAGTGGAGAAATCTTAAGATTTATGAGAGTCGCAATTGAAAACTTCATGAAGCATATGTGAAAATACATATGTGTATAGCTTATTCTTTGACTCAATGAAATTAAGTTAGCTCCAAAGCTGATTAAAGATCTTTGAAAACTCTTCAAAGATCCATAAAACAAAATTTTTTGTTTTTTTTTTTTTTGCAGAACTTTTACCAATTTTGGATACTTCATTTTTGCTAATTCAAAAGAATATTTTTAGGGGATGAAACTGCAAAATTGAACTTTCCATAAATTATTTTTTTTCTCTAATTCCTATTTAATTATCCTTAAAAAAAAACTTTGACACTTTCAATAGAGGATTAAAGTATGATTCAACATCAATCCAAATTAGGACAATTTATTTATAATATGATTATGCGATAAGATTGACATTGCCCAGCAGAATCAAAGATTTCAACTTGTAAAGTCCACTTGTAAAGCTAACTTAGTCCATTTATATGGTTGATTGGCCAAGATCTAATCGATTTGCAGCTTACGAAATGAGCCGACTGCACCGAACGTGGAGCTTTTTTTCTGTGGGCGGTTGTCCAACTCGCGCAACTTCTCATCGCAGCCAAAGTGCTGGGAATCCAGAAAATATTGTGCATATGCAGAGAGCATTGACTCCATGCTGTGGCTGATGTCCGCCATAACGCCATGGGTGCCGCCATATTCCACGGGCAAATAATCGGGCGAAACTAATTTGAAAATGGCATCTGGCTGGGAACTCACAGAAATCTAATCAAATAAAATAAATATATATATTGGGATATATATATAGGGAGAGTATAGAAGAGATTAGCTCACTCGGCTCTTGATCTTGGCGGGAAAGAAGGACTTGAGCGTATTGAAGCCAGCCTCAAACGCTGGCGGCACATTGATGAAGTGGATGGCCTTCTGCCGTGTGGGCATCGCCTCATCGGCATAGGTCGAGAACTTGCGCAGCAGCTCCGGCTGCAGGGCGAACAGGTGTGTGCCCGTGATGCCCTTCATGTCCATGATTTCGACATAGCCCGAAATTGTGGCATTCTCATCCTCAAACATCATTATCTCACCGAACATGGAGCCAACGCGAATAATGTCCTGAAACTTGTATTTGCTCGTGTCGTAGCTGCCAGCGCGTATGATGGTCACACAAGGACCTGCGTCCTCCTCATGCTGGGGAACACGCAGCAGGATGCTAAGGATCATGTTGATAATATGTATAGATATATATGTACACTGATATAGATATTGATGCATGCCCACCCCGAGCGCACAATGTCCAAGGTCAATGGATCTGTGGCCAAGCGTCGCTCATTAAACACCTCCGGTATGGAGGCCTGCAGCGTATAGAAGCGATCGTATTTGAGCTTGGCACGTTCCAGGCTGAATTTGGTGCCGCGCAGAAAGGCCAGCAGGAACTGATGCTCTGTGCAGCCGCGCAAATGCGGCTGCTTCAGCACCCAATCTCTCAGCGTCTCCACATCGTCGATGACCCGCTGCGGCACCTCGTTCAGCTCCTCCACTGCAATCGTCTGCAGCGCCGGCTTCAGAGGGCGTATACGCACTGTGTTCATGGCTGGCGGAGCAATCGAAGTAAAGAAATGGTTAATGACATTTTATTGTTAAGCATGCATGCCTGATAAGTACAGAGATTATAGAATCGATTATGGCAATAATAATCATTGTATGTATATTGCGTTTGTTTGTTTTAACATTTTTAACATTATCACGCACACGGCATGTCAGCCCTCACATTATAACTTTTTAATCTATATTTTTATCTATACTTTTATTTTTGCACATAAATATTTATACATCATTGTTTTTATTCCAGCTATATTTTACAAATTCACTTTTTAATTAGATTTGATTTATATCATACAAAAATATTTGTTGGTCATCTACACGTTTTATATTTTCTGCTTTCATTCAAATCGTTGAAGTCGCCCAAAGTTTCCCATTTTTCATTTCAACTTAATTTAAATCCAATAAGTCAATATATGCACAGTGGTACGAATAGTGGTATTATTGTTCAAATTACAATATATTGAATTTATTACACATTAATTACGAAACGAACTTGGCCCAAATTAATAAAGGCATTCTTTCAAAATGTATTTATTTAAATAATAATAATAATAAATAATAATAATAGAATAAATTGTATGAAATATTTTTAAAATTATTGTTGATTTAACACATTATAAAGGAATAATTTAAGCTTTTAAATGAATTCTTTTAATCTAATGCTCAACTGAAGTTTTAAAAAATAGTATAAATAATTTTCAAAGAGAAATAACTAAAACTTTTTACAAATTTTATCAAATGTTTTGTCAAATTTCAACTTATGATTGAATGATTTTTATTTAATTGGGCAGAGGTAATTTTTTTTATCACAAAACGCTTTAGTTACGATTTTAATTTATTTGTTTTTTTTTTTTCCGGCTACACGCGTGTTTACCGTTTGGAAATGCAGCACCGACTGATACAAAAAGAAAATCAGCAAACGACCAAATCAACGAACTTCGAAATGTTTACTTTTGTTGATCAGAAGCCGATTTAGCGATACACGAAGTCTTTTTGTTTCCCATTGCAAGTGGAGTCTTGAGGGTATATTGGCTTTGCTCAAGTGTATGTAACAGGCAAATGTGGGTGTGGTTGCCACCAAAAGGAATTTAGCATTACTAGTCCAGTTGATCTACCTAGCTTTGTTTCAGATGTCTGTTTTTCTTTTTGTCTCTCTATGCTTATTCGTCCGTCTGTCTATCTATCATGATTTAGCATATTCATATTAAAGCTAGTCCAACTAAAGCTAATCCAATTAGATTAAATCAAAGCTAATCCAATAAAGCTCTTTCAAGTTATCGATAACTTCGGCCCGTTAAATGTTGAAGCGCTTCAACAATAAGCACTCCAATTTTTACCTGAGTTTTTTGGAAGAAGAAGCACAGCAACAGCACACAAGTAAAGCTAAAGACATACGTGGCCTAACGCAAGTGGGTATGTGTGTGTGTAATCTGTGTATGTATGTGTGCATGTGTGTCAGGCAAATACTTAATACGCTCGTCACGGGGCTTAGGGTAGCCGTTAGTCAGTCAATTGTTTTTATTATATTAATAGCAAACGCTCAACGGGGTAGGAAGCAACGATTTACTTGCAATGTTGAGTGCCAGGCGCCGTTAGTCACATATAATTTGCAGTGGGTGGCTTTTCGACAATTGATTGTCTTAATTGGCTTTGGATTTAGCCACACACACATATATGTATACACACATGCACACTTGCATTTTTTAAGTGCATACACCTGCGCCCTTCCTTTAGCTATATTTTGATTTGTGCCAATTTTATTGAATACTCGACATCATATTTAATTATTTAAATGTTACCGGGGACTAATTTGTTCAATTCGTTTCTTTATGACTTAACAATTAAATGAATGCTGATAATAGATAGAGGTTATTTGAGTGCATTTACTGTATTATGTAGTATTTGTTTTTTTTTTTTATTTACTTATTTTTTGTTTTTAATTGCGGAAGTCAGCCTTTGATGAAAATTTAATGTTTGAATGACATAAATAATTAATTAATAATTTTATATGTGGTTGAAGTCACTTTAATGTAAAATCGTTCTTAGTCTTGTATACCTATTTATGTACTTAAGCATTAATGATATATAAACATTGTGTCTTGCAAAATTATATGAGTTTTGTTATATAAAACTTACAATTAAATATTTTAAATTTACAATTTTTAAGCCATTCATTGAGAAAAATCATCTCTATTATTTATACATACATTAAAACTTCAACTAACTGCATAAAAAATTTTACAAATCTTTTGTCGCCTTGAAATTTTAATTTGGAACTTCGCCAAAAATAAAAAATAAAAAACGACAATTTTAAAAGAATCTTACAAAAATACTCCAATTAGTATAAAAAATACTTTTTGTTTGATAGTATTTTCTATGTCGATAACTATATTCGATATCTCGATTTTTGTGCTAATTGGCATAGTGACACAGTGACAGGTAGCAGAAAATTTAGAAATTTCTAATAGTATATATTCTAGAAACAAATACTAATGTTAAGTTCAATCATTCAAAACCATGCAGGTCGCAACAATGTCCAACGTTGGAGACACCGAAAATCCCTTTGCAGCTCTACTGCAGCAGGGTACCGAGGCCAATAGCGTTTCCAAGCAGCTGATCGAATCAATTTTACTCTTTACACTGAGCAAAGATGTGGACACCAGTCGAAATAAGGCGCTCCTTTGTCTGGCCGATGTCGTCGTGGCGGACAATAGCAGCGAGGACACGCTTTGCGTTGATCTGCTTGCACACGCCCTATTCGAACGTTTAATGCTGGACGACACGACGAAATATCTGCTACCAGCTGAACAGGTAAATCAAAGCCAACAGGAACAAGCGCTGGAGAAACGAGCGATGATCTATCTGCACGGTGCGTTCGCCAGATGGGAGCAACTACAGCGCACTTGCAGTATACAGGACAAAAAGCATGGCAGTCAAATACTTGACCTAATTTTAAACAATGCAAGCACCTGCATGCGCCAGCCAGATCTGTTTGCCCCCCAATCCTTTTCCAGCCAGTGGCTGGAGCTATTCGAACAGGCGGACGAGCATGATGTTAGTACGCAGGAATTTCTGGTACGTGTTGTGGGTAAGGTGCTAGAAGAAGTTGAACCTCTGGAAGCCCTAGGAGCTCTCAAGGCCATATTCTATCCCATGCTGAGTGAACTGCAGAAACAATTAGCCAAGGAAAATTTGATTACAATACGAAAGAATATATTCTGGATATTTGGTTTCTTTGTGCGCGAAAAACGCGCCAGCGTGCTCGGCGAATTGCTCATTGACTTCACAACACCCAATCCAAAGGCTAAAGGTAAATCTTCAGAGATTTCAGTGTATATTTTGCAAAATATTTATATTCATTCGTTTTAGGTGGGGAATATATGGATACGTTGTTCGGCCAATTGCTGTGCATATCAATTATGCCCAAGACACAAACGGCACCCTATGAATTCTTTCGCGATATATCACTGATCTCGCAACAATCCGATCCCACCCTCTGGCAGCTGTTGGCGCATCATCAGCAGGCCATGTTCACGCTCATCAAACAACTGCTCGTTCAATCCTCAACAACCAAGAAGAAGACACTGCAATGGATTGCAAATTGTCTGGATGCAAATGTGGCGCGCGGCCATCTCTGGAGCACCATAAACTTGAACCTGGAGCAGACCGTACATAGCACAGCCAGCGATGCATTTATGACCAGCCTCAGCGCTGTGCTGATGCGTCTGTGTGCGCCACTCTGCTCACCTGCGCTAAAGGTACTTATATATAACCACTTCTAGCATCTATTAATATGCATGAAATCATTTTGCAGGTGCTCTTAGTAGACCCGACTTATTGCGCTGTTTCGGACATAATGGATCGCCTGACAAAGGGCGTCAACATGCTGAAGGCCTATGAGGAAACCTGCCTGCTGCCCATGGAAGAGGGCGAGAAACGTTTGACAGCTGAAAAGTATAATTTTATCACCGAAATCTTCTATATGACGCACAAGGCCTTCGAATTGGGTAATCGAGCGTGCATTGAACGGTTGACTCGCATGATGCGCGAACTGCAGAACACTCAGACCGCTTACCAGGATGTGGCAGCCAGTGATCCCAACAATGATTTGACTAAGAATCTGTTTCGCATGCTGCAGGATCAGATGCAACAGGTGCTCTGCATACGCAATGGCTTGGCCGAGCCGGAAAATGACACGGCAATACTCAAGTTTTTTGAGGCGTCGGCCATTTGGCTGACTGAGATTGCAATGCTGCCTCGGGAATGCTTCGAGGCAGCGCTGGACAAAAAGGACTTTGCACCGCAATTGATGCGCAATCTGGAACTGTTGTCGGAGACGCCACCGTTTGTTGCACCGTATATGAAGTCAGTGCCGGAGAATATCATTGACAATATTGCGGCATATTTGAATTTCTGTCGCAGCTTTCCCGGCGATCAGTTCATACAGCTACACACCAGCTCGCACGATGCATTCTTCAAGATGATTCTGCTATTTATGGGCAGTTCGGAGCTGGTTAAGAATCCGCATTTGCGCGCCAAACTGGCAGATGCCTTGGAATTTCTCCTGCCCTCACAGATGTCCGGTAGCAATCGCAAGGTGTTCAACACGCACGTCTTCGATAGCCATCCGGATCGCCTGCAGGTGGTGCGCAGTCTGCTCAATGTGTTTGTCAGCATTGAAATGACCGGGCAGTCGGTGCAATTCGAACAGAAGTTCAACTATCGTCGCCCCATGTACGCCATCATGGAGTTCCTGTGGACCAAGGAGGAGCACGTCGAGTGCTTCAGACAACTGGCCAGGGACGCCGAGAGCAGCATGGAGGCCATTGAGCCGCCGCTCTTCTTGCGCTTCATCAACCTGCTTATCAACGATGCTATTTTCTTGCTGGACGAGTCGCTCTCCAATCTGGAGCAGATCAAGCAGCTGCAGCAGGCTCAGGACAATGGCGAGTGGAACAATCTGTCGCAAAGCGAACGACAACAGCAGACCACCAACTTGCACCATCTGGGCATGCTGGCACGTTTCGACAACATTCTCGGCCGTGACACCATCAATCTGCTGAAGTTGCTGACGAGCGAGATCAAAAGCATCTTCTGCCATAACAGCATGGTGGATCGCATTGCGGCCATGCTGAACTATTTTCTCTTGCATTTGGTGGGGCCACAGCGCGAGCGGTTCAAGGTTAAAGACAAAAAGGAGTTCGAGTTCGACCCGGCACAAATGGTGCTGGAAATAGCGCACATTTATATAAATCTAAGCACTGACAACAGCTTCTGCCTTGCCGTTTCGCAGGATGGCCGCTCCTACAGCGATCAACTCTTCGGCTATGCCGAAAACATCTTGATACGCATCGGCGGGGGTCAGCTAATCGGCGACATGGCCGAATTCGCGGCCAAAGTGCAGAAAATGGGCAACGATTACAAGGAGGAGCAGGAACTGCTGGCCGATGCGCCCGAAGAGTATCTGGATCCGATTATATCGACGCTCATGACCGATCCGGTGGTGTTGCCCAGTTCCAATGTGACCGTTGATCGGTCCACAATTGCTCGCCATCTGCTGAGCGATCAGACCGATCCATTCAATCGCGAACCCCTCACCATGGACAAGGTCAAGTCGAATGTGGCGCTCAAGCAAGAGATTGAGCAATGGATCGAGGATAAACGCAATGCGGCGCGTGTCAAGAGTTGAACGATCCAACTGGGCCAGGGCAAACGCGCTTAACCAAAGAATTAGCTCGTTTTTGAGGGGTAACCGGATAAGGCTTTAGTTTAATGTAGTTTTCTCTCCTTACAATTCCAGTTTATGTACAAGCCACAGCTATGTATGATCCGTACATAAACATAATTTCCAATCCAATTTGCAATTTACAACAAATTCTTCAATTTTATGGGTGAGCTGGTATTCTCAAGTTTTGTGTATATTCAAGCAATGCGAGTGCGTCTTTGAATTAATAAATAATTACAAAAAATTATACAAATATAAATAATTGTAAATATTTTATGTCAGCGTTCAGAGGAAACGCAATTTATAAATAAATAAATAATTCTTTGTGTGTGCCGTTGCATTTGACAAAATATTTATTGATTTTGGTAATCTGATAGAAAATGTATGATTTTCACAAAATCTATGTATATATACAAAATGACTATATATATAAATATATGATAACAGAAACTTCAGGTTGTCCGCTCTGACAAATTTTCTATACATAGATTACTCAAAGCATGGACATGTATATATGGTTATATTCCAGATTTCAATATTCAGTGCACTTCTTACATATCTATATAAAAATTATATTCTAAATATATTTCTCATACGATTTATACATGTACATATTATAAAATATGTTAGATATAAATGTTTTTCTTACATGTTCTCTTTGTACTGCTATATTGTCGACTACATCCTAAACTTAACTTTATTAATACTTATCTTATTCACTGCATAAAACATTATTTACAATCTTGATCTATGTATAGTGTGTGATTATTGACATTATATCTCAGGCTCCTCGACTACATCATGGCTTATGTGCTCAAACTGTTCGGTGACCAATTGATGGGCCAGACAATCGCCGCATAAATTCAGATAGCAATAGCAACTGTTGCAATGCCAACGCTTGCGCGTCACAGCCGACTCCGCGCATTCGGCGCACTTGGGTGCCAATGGATCTGGACTGTAGCCATCCTCTGTTTGCAGCTTTTCGTCTCTTATGGCTGTTAGTATTTTCAATTGCAGCAACTTTTGACGACGCGTCTCCGTTTCAAGCGTATCTGGTTCCTGTTTTGGTTCAACTTTTATTTTTGATGGCGGTGGCGGTGGTGATGGCGCAACAGGCACAAGATCATCCAAAGTGTATTCATCTTCGGGCATTTGTATCTCTATATTCTGTGCCGGGAAGAAGGTTGAGCGGCGCACGCTGAACTTGGATCGAGATGGGCCGCCCGAGCGACGATATTTGGGTAAACGTCCAGGCACCGGCATGCCGGCATCATGCAGTTTCTGAAAGTATTTTTGCACCCGGCTGAACACCTGCTGAGGTGTACGATTTACGAGAGCTTTGGCGATCTTACTGAATCGCCGCATTTCTACCTCTTCGGGCGGATATTCAATGAGTAGTTGCTCCAGGCGGCGCTGCTCTTCATTTGTCCACAATCGAGTCTGGTTCTTATGGCCATTTTTATTATTCTTGTCCTCCCCAGTCGGTTGAGAGCTGACCGCAGGCGCCTCGATTTTAACATCTGGCTTTACCATTAATGTGGGCAACTCAGGTAGACGAATCGTGGTTAAATAATAGGGCGCTATTAAAGGCTCGTTGTTGCGCAATCTGTCCAGCAGAAGTTGGGGATTCTCCAGGTAGTTGTCGCGCGCCTTCTCCAGTTCCCCAATTTGCTGATGGATGCGGATCCGTTGCGCCTGAAGCGTGGCTATGGTACGTAAAAGGTTGCTGTAGCATTGATTGCCACGCAACGCCAGGTGCTCTGTTTCAAAGTGAAATACATCCTCGCTGTCGCCATTGTCATCGCCGTCGTTCTCACTGTCATTATTCTCCTCCTTTATGTTTTTTTCATTCACTTCATTTTGTTGATTGTTTTCGGTTTCCATTATAAGCGCGTTAAATTGAAGGGCACTAGAGATGAGCAAAGCTTAAAGTAAATGCAATCAGCTGATATTGGCGAAATTATCGATACTTTGCACTAGCGCCAATTTGCGTGGTTTTTAAATATACATTTTCTTGCATTTGTAATACCTTTATTATATTGCAAGTTATTAACTGATTTCTTTAATATTTATATAAGTATATAGTATACAATATATCTGTCTTTATCTGTATATCATTATCATCATAAATTATAACATGTTATCGGTTGTGAAGATCATTCTGATAAGCAACAGCTGTTCGCTGTGTTAAAGAAGAGGCACTGCACGTAACAAGTTGTTTATCCACAATGCTAATTCCACGATATTTTGCACGTCCTCTATTCCAATGCTCTTTCCTTGTAAGTCTTCATAATTCATGAATACAGCTAATATTAAAACAAATTCATTTTAGGGCAGATCTTTACGATTAATGTCTCAGCTGTCGCAGGATAAAGTGCGCATTGTGGAGGTGGGACCACGCGATGGTCTGCAAAACGAGCCGAAATTGCTGCCGGCTGCTATAAAAATTGAGCTTATAAATCGCCTGTCGGAAACGGGCCTACAAACAATCGAGGCCACCAGTTTTGTGAGTGCCAAGTGGGTGCCCCAGATGGGCGACAATTCGGAGGTCTTGCGTGGCATACGCCGTGCGCCAGGCATTAGTTATCCCGTGCTGACGCCTAATTTGAAAGGATTTGAGAGTGCTTTAGAGGCGGGCGCTGAGGAGGTAGCTGTATTTGGAGCCGCATCGGATGCATTTTCCCTGAAAAATGTCAACTGTACAGCGGCAGAGGCCATCGAGCGCTTCAAGCCCGTCCTGGAAGCTGCCAAGAAAAATAGCGTTCGGGTGCGCGGCTACGTTTCCACTGTGGTGGGTAAAAGCAATTGAAATATTTTAAAACAGTGGTCCAATATTAAATACCCTTATAGGTAGGCTGTCCCTACGAGGGCGTTGTGTCACCCCAGGCTGTGGTCAAGGTGGTGACTGCGCTGCATGAGATGGGCTGCTATGAAATCTCGCTAGGCGACACTATTGGCGTGGGAACACCAGGTAGCATGCGCAAGATGCTGGATGAGGTCACACGCGCCGTGCCGGCACAGCAACTGGCCGTGCACTGCCATGACACCTACGGCCAGGCGCTATCAAATATTCTGACTTCCTTGGAGTACGGCATACGCGTTGTGGATGCCTCTGTCTCTGGATTGGGCGGCTGTCCCTATGCACGCGGCGCGTCCGGCAATGCAGCTACGGAGGATGTCGTCTATATGCTGCACGGCATGGGTATAAATACGGGTGTCAATCTGGATAAGCTCATTGAAGTGGGCCGCTACATATGCCAAGAATTGGGCAGACCCTCTGAATCTAAGGTGAATCGTGCCTGGAAAGGGCCCCAGGGTAAAAAGTTATAAACTTCTTGCATACCCACACAGCAATCGATGGCATTTACTAGTTACTAATTGTTATTACGTGTGTGTTAAATCGTAATCTTTATTTGTTACAGAATTAAAAAACTAATTGCGATTCGCTTTATGCATTTGTTATGAATATAGAAACGTCTCCTCTTCTTACCATGTTCTCAACAAAAATAATTAAAATTTCTTAGCATCCTTCAGTGTGTACAAAGAGACGTCGCCGGAGGCCAGCGACAAATCTGCCAGACTCTGATTAACACGCCGAGGTATATACGATTTATTTTGATTGGTGGCGCAGCTCTTGCCAGGCGTCTTCATCTTGCCATCGTGACGCATCACTGTTGGATCAGAGGCTGAATCCAAATACTTTTGGATTTTCGCCACACTCGGCATCGGCAAAGGAGTACGTTCATCAACGACCTGCCGGGTGCACGGAAAATGTTTTGTTAGATGCATGGTAATAGTGTATATTCATATTAAGTTACAATTTCAAATAATTAATTTCAGAAGTCGTAGCCGTTATTCTCATTGAACTTTTATGCCAAGCTATGATTAATTCAAAGCTAACCTTAAGCCAAAGTCCAAATAGCTCATGGCTTTGATAAAGCCTCGGTTGGTTTGGTTTAATCGGCTATTTCTCTGCCCTGATCAGAGAGGCCTACTCCCTCATTATACAAATTGATATACTCTTCAAATGTTTACGGACTATAATAATATCTATGCCTATACATATCTATGCAAATAAACCGCATTCGACTTACCTGCTTCAAATCAGAGCAAATGTATGCCTTCTTGGGCAGAAATGGAGCACTTGGATTAAAGTATTCAGGATTAGCTTTAGCTTCCTTGCCTGCTAGGGCGGCTGCTTGGCCCCTCTTGAGCTGGCATATCAGTGAGTTTTCCTCCTCTGGCTGCGTGTCGCTCAGATTATTTGATTTTTCCCGGAATATGCTCATCAGTGGCGCAGTGGCGGATTTTTGTGTGTAAGCACGTATGGGACTGACGATATGCGCAAAATTATCTGTCTGATTCTTTGCGAGGCGACGCAAGTGAAAGGATAAGGGTTCATTGAAGAACTTGCCGGTTGGTGGATAGTTCATGTTGATTGCATGCCGCGACTTTCCAGTGGCAGGCAGCGACTTTTCGGGTAACACTGGCTCACATTTCCTTTGGGGCATTATAAATTTATGCGGTGACCTTGTTTTCTGATGCAAATGGATTATGTTTGGATCTGGTTGCTGCTCTGTTGACTCAGGAGGATTTTTGTTAGCTTCCATGTATTCTTGGGCTTTTTTCAACATGTATTCCATTTCCTCAATGGTGCCATTCAAACGCGTTGATTTGTTTTCCTTATCTTCCTCATCATCTAAATCAACTAAGGAGCATTCCTCCTGTTTAATGCATTCCCTGCTCGCCACGTTGCGCTCTCCATCCTGCTCTTCCTCATTCTCGCTGGACGAGGACAATTCAATGATGGTGCTATCTGCTGCATCAGTGAGTGCCATATCCATTAAAGTCTCCTGCATATCAGACAGCAGCTCTTCCTGCTCGACCTTAGATATGCCATGTGGCTTAGCCTTGGCTATGGCCGCATAAAACAAGTCATCAACGTTCAACGCTGCTGAATCAGTAACATCTCTCGAACTGCTCGCCAATGAATTATCTGCGGCCGTCTCGTAGCAGCTGGAGCCAGATGCAGAGCCTAGCTCCGTTCTCAGCGTCTTGGCGGTCAAAAAGCTGCTGTTGAGAGAGCAGGACTCATCTGATTGCAAGCCAGTCAGATCGGCCTCATTGGCCTCCAGTATGGTTGAAGGGCGCAACAGGCCGACCATTTTGACAGGCGATGTCTCTGTCTTTAACGGAAAATGTGATTCGGTGGCATTAAGCATAGAGTCATTATCCCAGAAACGTGATGGCGCCTCAACATCCTCCAACTGTGTGCACTCTGCACTCTTTAGTGGACTCTCGTTGCACAAGTCTGCCTGATCAGCTACATCCGCCAGCATGCGGCGCAAAGCCTCCGTTTCTATGTCATCAGCTGCAAAGCAAATTGATAAACAGACATTAAATGGCTACAACTAGAATTAAACAATGATTGTCTTAGCCAAAGAATATAGATAGAAATTTGCAAATCAGATTATTTACTAGATTCCTTATATATACTTTAAATACACTTACATTTATTTGAACGCGAGCTGCGCCTCTTGGCTGTAGCCAATACCTGTTCCTTATCATCGCTGTTCAAATATTGGAATAGTGTGCTGTCTGGGTCGGAGGCAGTCTTATCGCACATACGCTCGAGCGCATCGAAACTATCATCGGCCATTTGTTTGGATGTATTCTCCGCGAGTGGGAACTTATATTTCTGTCCACTCTCTGAATCCATTGATGAACTAGGTTTATTCTCGAGCTCTTGCTGCTGCTTCAGCTCCAGTTCAGCTTTGCGAGCCTGTATTAGAGCCGGAAAATCCAAGACAATACCCACACTAGGACGACGATCGAATGATTCTTCCTGTGGTTTCGGTGCAGCTGGTCGAGGCCTTCAAATTAAAATTAAATTCGATTGTTTGTTTTAAATTTCTTCTTTTCTGATACGATCAAACTATTTTGTACTGTTTTGTGCCTGCGACTAAATGCAAAGCTACTTTACTCAAAATATTCATCTGCAGCGCATTCTATGTTTATGCATGCTACGCTAATTTTTCATCCACTCTACAGTATATACATATGTTGACGTATTTACCGATCCGTGAGCAAATGTTTGAGCAACTTTTGACGCCATGCTGGATTGTCTTGAAATTTTTCCAGGCCTGACATTTCGACTGCGTCCTTTTTTGTTTATAGGAGGTTCATGTACATAAACACAAATAACAATGTATTACACAACAAACGCAAGTGGTTTATTTTAGAATGTCCAAACCCGCTAATTTGGAAATTTTGATATTTACTCACATAAATTGGGGGAACAAATCGTAATTGTAAAGGACAAAATAGCGCTCGCGCAGCTGCTTCTGTTCAAATGAGTCGATCATCGACGAGTAGATATCGACGCGCGCTAAATTGTCGGGTAATTTCAAAATCGATACTTTAGACATTTATTCTATAGGGCTGCAGAGATACGAACAAGTAATCAAAGAGTAGGCGAAAAACAATTTGATTTCTCTTTTATTTCAATTGAAAATTTTAATAATTATAACAACGAAAATGAAGCAGCTCATATATGACGAAATTTTTGATTAATTAAACGAAAACTTCGGTCATAATGTGGTGAAGAGTTATTAATAGGCGTCCGTGGACTGTTGATGTTGCGATCACTCAGTGTGCTTAATCCCAGACTTTCGTCTTCGATGGATATCATAATATCTGTAAACAGGAAAGTTTTAGACGACTCCCTAGATCGTGAAGGAGTTGATAATCCAGATATGCGTTGATGCTCGGCCACTTCACTTGACTTTCCCATTGAATCGAATAGACTAGTAATTTGAGTTGCCTGTTCCGAATAATCTTTATTTGAAGAGAGCGGCGAGTCCGAAGAAATTGTAGAATGTAGTGTTTTATTGACTTTCATTTTGAATAGCAATTCATTAAAGTCGCTATCAAAATCCATCTTAAAATGATGTAAAAGAAAAACCCGGCTCGTGGATGAAGAAACTAAGATAAAAAGTAACTGTTCTTTATCGAAACACCGACTATTTATTTATTATGATTAATCATCGAATTATCATCGATAGCTGTGTTATCAATTGGCTTTAAATGCCGGTGCAAGAAGAAGACACATACATAGATAACAAATATTGTTCGTAACATAAAAACGGTTGTAAATGCAATAAATTAAATTAAATATGAATGCTCTGAGACGCACCATTTCACTCGTGGCCCTGGGCACCTTTCAGCTGGGGCGCCGCATGAAAAGCCAGCATTTGCATGGACTCCTGCTTGGCACTGGGCTTGGCCTTTCCACCATCGCATCGGTCACGTACGCACAGGCCGAAGCAGCAAAGGTCAACCGAAAGTTGAACATATCCAAATTCATGGCTGAGCCCATTACGGACTCGGCCGTTTTGTTGGCCGATCAAGACAATATGCGCCATCGCATGGAACTGATGATCATGGAGATTCAAGCTGATTTTTGTCGTGCACTCGAATCGGAAGAGTTCAATGGGCAGAAATTTAAAGTGGACCGCTGGCTACGTAAAGAGGGCGGCGGCGGTGTCACCTGTGTCCTGCAAGACGGCGACGTCTTCGAGAAGGCTGGCGTCAATGTCTCCGTTGTGACCGGCTCCCTCCCACCAGCGGCCGTTCAGCAGATGCGCTCAAGAGGCAAAGATCTGGCGGAGAACGTTAAACTGCCTTTCTTTGCTAGCGGCGTCAGCGCTGTCATCCATCCGCGTAATCCCCATGTGCCGACTATTCACTTCAACTATCGCTACTTCGAGGTCGAGTTGCCCGATGGCTCCAAGCAGTGGTGGTTCGGCGGTGGTACGGATCTGACGCCCTACTACTTGGATGAAAGCGATGCCCGCCATTTCCATAAGACGCTGAAGAGCGCTTGCGATGAGCACAACACCTCCTACTATCCAAAGTTCAAGAAGTGGTGTGATGACTACTTCCATATCAAGCATCGCAACGAGTCGCGTGGCATTGGAGGCATCTTTTTCGATGACATCGACGAGCCCAACCAGGACGGCGCCTTCAAGTTCGTAACTAGCTGCGCTCGTGCCGTGATCCCATCCTATTTGCCGTTGGTGCAGAAGCATAAGAATGAGGATTACGGTACAAAGGAGCGCGAATGGCAACTGCTGCGACGCGGCCGCTACGTGGAGTTCAATCTAATCTATGATCGTGGTACCAAATTCGGTCTCTATACTCCCGGTGCCCGCTACGAGAGCATCCTAATGTCCCTGCCGCTTCACGCCCGTTGGGAGTATATGCACGAACCGAAAGCTACGTCCAAGGAGGGGGATTTGCTAATGGTTTTGCGTAATCCCAAGGAATGGGTTTAAATTGGATTGTGTTATATTTTTATTTAACTATTAATGGGATTGGTGCCTTTCATGATAAAGTTTTAATTATAGAATAAGAGTTTACAATATTTATGCCTGTACAATCTATTTCCGTTAAAAATTAAAAAGTTTAATTTTATGACAAAAGACGGCTAAGAATTCTCTATTTTGCTCCAAATTTCATTAATTTTGGAAATTTGAAATCGAATTGAAACTTATTTTTATTCACTCCCTTTCAAACACAACCATACGTACGTTTAGTACCCGTTGACGTCATCTATTCCATATATGCATTTTGAGGTTAGGTTAAGTAGATCTTTACTATTATGACGAATTACAGCTATATTTTGAGCGGATAGTCTTATTATGTTTTTCTACCAAAATATGTTTATGGATATATGTATGTATGTATAAACATACACATAATGAGCAGTTTATATTTTTATCGTACGCATGGACAGACATCTGTCTGCTTCGATTGTGTATGTATACTCGTTTTCACACACACACATGCAAACACAGTTGCTGTACTGTACGCGAATTGCGTCCGTGTGTACCAACAACGCTAAAACATCACACACACAACCACATTTGCACCATGTTACAAGCTCGAGTGTTTGTGTGTGTGCGTCCAAGGAATATAAAGCGGAAAATGCGCGCCATCGGCAATTTAGCCACCAAACCCATAGTTTGCCAATGAAAAAGAGAATTCCTTTTATGAATCAATCTTAAATCATAGTTTACAAAATGCTTTATTTTCCAGTTTTTTGTTTGTTTTTGTTTTGTTTCCTTTTAGCAAATATCTAGATGTATGTTGGGGACACTTCCTTTAGTTGTTTTCTTTTCATGTATATACAACATGAAGCGGAACAAGGACATAATTGATATTTTTCTTTTTGTTTATTTATGTAGAATAATGCTCGCTTATTTATTGTTACTGCTGCTAGTGCTGCAGCAGTTGCTGTTGGTTTTGTTGCTGCTGTTGTCGTTAAAATGAAAAGTAACTAGCTTAACTACATTCATACAAGTATATATTTAATAAACACCGCCGGTCTGCTGTTGATACACCTCGATAGTATCACCCTCCTCCATCTCTAGCGAGGTCGGAGTATCGTTCTCATTGATGGGCTGACCGTCAAAACGGAAGCGCACCACCTGCATGGAGAGTCCGGCACGGTCGCAGTAGGCATTCATTAGTTTCCGCAAAGGTGTGTGTTTCTTAATTTTAAATTGGACCACCGCATTATCCTGGCCTAGTACTTTCAGATTAATGTGCTCAGTTTCGCCTCCCTTCTTTTCGTCAGACATGTTTCTTTTTTTCGCTGTGTACGCGCTTCACGATATTCACAAATGTAAAATGCAATGATGCCGGGCGTGCGTGCTGTACATTGAATGTAGAGAATACGCAGAAATTAATGATTATTCACCATTTATAATATATTTGCTGTTTTTCACTTTAAAACTGCAACTGAAATTTCATTTTTCTTACTTTTTTATACGATTCACCACTCGCTTCCCTCTTTTTTATATTTCCAAGCGGCTTGCGCTAGCTACACACACGCCAAAAAATGGTTGTATTTTGAGTGTTTCCCTATTCGCACACGGCAAAAACGACCAGTAAAATAATGTACTAAAAATTACCGATGACGCCGACTAACAGTGTTGCATGAAACTGGTATCAATATTGAAAAAAAAAAAAAAAATTGCGGACAGGCAAGTTACAAAATATCAATTTATTTTAATATAATTTTTTTAAAATTACTTCATTTCGTCGATATATCAACAGTATGGTTAATAATTAATAATCGATAGCAAATTTATCGGCGCGTAATTTAATTGTTAAACATACGCCTGTAAGCTACAAAGGCAAACTAAAATTTTGCAACCGATTATTTTCTGATTGATAAATTATATACTCACATTTTGCCGATTGTATTAATATTTAGAAAATAATAAAATAGATAATAATTTTCTTTGCTTGTATGAAATACTTTATTTTGTTTTGGAAGTAATGTATTTGCACATCAATAAACTTTTTAATTTTCCAGCAACAAAAATACAAATGCAAATTCAAAAAGTCCCATATTTGCTTTGCTTAACACTCCATAAGAAAGAATATTTAGAGAATTTAGCTCCGAGGATCAACATAAATGAATCAAAGCTAATGCTGGAGCCGTCTGAATTTTTGTATATTAAACTCTCTTCATCAATTTCCCCTTAGATAATAGTTCTTTTTGTTCCAGTTTTTCCGTTTTTGACCATTCTTATGCGGATTAAATTAAGTAGATGCTCTACAGCAATTGAAACACTTTTGAGTATACGCTATAGAGGGACATTTAACAGTTATAGGTGCCAAATGAAAACGACCAATAACAAACCTGATCGCTGTTTCAAAATATATTTGTTTATGGTTATCCCGTGATGTGTGGTCCTTTAGAACAGGTTCCACGCAAACAATCACCAAACGGGCATATGGGGCCTACCTCATCCCCATCAAGATCAAAGAATATATACTTTATTAAATATATATATATTCTTTGGCTTCTTGTTCAGTTTCACCAAATTATTTGGACAGAAATCTTACCAACAAACCAGCTCACTCAACAACTTACAATCGTCAGATATTTCAAAAGAAATTGAACCGGTTTGAACTTACTCACAGACCCAGGTTTTGATAGAGCTATGGTACACCAATTGAGTAAGCGGAGCCATCACGTTTCTAGTGTTGGCCTAAAACGGTAAACGCAAGGATTAGTGAGATTTGTGTAGAGAAGAATTACCTGTTTTTTCATAGGTTTCTAATGGGTCAAGTCTTTGAGTACTTTTGCTTTTTTATGGTTGTTCTGAGTAATTTTTTTATGGCTTTGGATCTAATTTATGTTTGTTGAAATACTTATGATTTGTTTTCACACTCTGGACGTATATATTCAATATACAGGTTTTCAATATTGAAAACTGCAAAAAATAAAGAAAACAAAATGGCACGAGTTAGCGCACAGTTTTATAGCGGAATTGTGTTTGTGATTAATGTTAACTATGTTTTAACCAAAACAAACCAATCAGTACTCGCTTGGGATCCGGATAGTCTCATATATACCATATACTATATACCATAGCATTCCCTTATACCCCCTTACCAAAGGTGGGGAAACAAACACATGTTGATCTGATTTATTTTTACTTACTCTTCATTTTCAATTGTTAAGATTTACTTACATATTTAAACGTATTTAAGCTATGCACAATTATTTTGTTGATTTACGTTTTCTTTTTTTGTTTTGTTTTCTTTAGATATTTTACTGCTTTTTTGTGTTTTGCTTTCAGTATTAATTAAAAATAGCAATTCAAAGTGCTTCCAGCTTAAAACGGACTTACAGTTTGTCTTACGCATCAATGATTCCGAACTGTATCATTCCACTGGCTGAGTCGCTATGAATTTTAAATTTCAAATTGCAATTGAATAAATAAGTAAAAACAATCGACGCTATCGATTGTGCCAAATTATGGATTGGTTACAATTATAATAATAGTGTGTTACCAGCGCAGGATTACAAGAAACAAATCCTGAAAATTGTTATCGTACTCGATTACCAATTGTTATTGCTGTTCTGTCGATGGACAGGACTCTCACTGACGCCACCAAGTCGGATCGCTGGCATTTTGGCTGCCATTATCGGGATTGTTGCTGCGTGGAGGTATCGGCGGTGGAGGCACACTAAACATATTATGATGCGTAGCGGGCGGCCGATACTTCTCCTCATTCTCATCGTCAAGTTCACGTTTGATGGACGTGTTTTGATAGTCATTCATCGAATATGTTGGATATCCGTCATCGATGGGCTCCTCCTTGATTTTGATCATGTCCATTTCACGGAAATCTGGTTTACGTTCCTTGACATCGCGATCGCCGCCACCGCTGCGATCAGAGCCTCCCCGGTCCCTATCTCGTCGCTCACGCTTGCGCTCGCGCCGCTCACGAGATGATTCTCGCTCACGTGACTTGGAGCGCTTCTTTTTCTTTTCACGCTCACGATCGCGATCGCGTTCTCTGTCGCGCCTGTCCCGTCGTCCATCGAAATCGTCATAGTCACGATCCCTGCTACTGGCACGACGTTTTCGACGTTCGCGCGACCGGCTACGTGAGCGACCAACACGTGCGCCGCGTTCCCGGTCGCGTTCTCTGCGATCTCGGGAGCGCGAACGTCGCCTCTCACCGCCCACAGCTCCGCCGTAAGGAGCCCGACCGCCACGTCCATCGAGACCATTGTTGGCCCCGCCACGAACACCACCCTCGCGATCCTCACGCTCACGTTCCAAGCGATAGCGTTCACGCTCACGCTCATTATCCTCGCGGCCGGAGTGCTTAATGTTCACATCATTGCCACCTCGCCGTGTGCCGCCCAAGCCACCGCCCAGTCGACGTGGCAGCCAGCCCTTAACGGTTCGAGCGCGCTCAACATCCACCAGAACACGCTTGCTGTCTATCTTCTTACCATCGGCGTGTTTGTATGCTGCGTGCATGTCCCGTTCATGCTCATACTCAATAAAAGCATAGCCCTTGGGTTTACCTGAAGTACGATACAAAACATTTCATTCAGAAATTATTCACTCAATCATTAAAGCATAATTATATATAAAATAATGCATAACACAATTTACCTGACTCCTGATCATGAATGAGCACGATTTTTTTTATGGGACCGTAGAACTCGAACTCGCGCCTAAGCTTAGACTCAGAGGTGTCGTAGTTTATGCGCGCTACGAAGAGCGTGCGGAATGGATCCTCTGTGGCGTTCTTAATCTCAGTTGGATCCCATAGAGCGATTTCACGTTCCAGTTTATATGCGACTTGTTCAGCCTTTTCGCGACGCCTTCTTTCCAGTCGCTCTTGGCGCGTTTCCACTGTTTTAGGTGGTGGTGTGTCCTTTGGGTCTTCGAAATCGCTCATGAAATTGGCTACGCCCAAATACCCTCGTGATTTTTTTTCATGTGGCAGCTTGTCCACCGGCGGCATAAACGGTATTGGATCCCGTGACGCGAATAACGCCAAAAGATTTGGCGGCAGATATTGAGTCATTTTGTTAATATATTATTACCTTTGTCTCCGTCGTTCCGTCAAATTTAGTGCTAGACATGGAAAAATGAGGTTATGTTACGCTTGTTTACGGCAGAGACAGATTTAATAGATTAACATACTTTTTGATCCATTCAGTATGTATACTTGGATTATTGCTAGGGAATTCAACAATCCCAATCGCAATATCCGCAATTGTCAATTTCTGCTCAATCGATTTATTGCAATTAATGTTTATGACCGAAAATATTTTTTCTTGTGGCGTAGCTACACAGTTACTAATGATGGCATTATGCTAGAGATGGGCAATTCCCTGAAACCTCACAGTGATAGTTATTTTTAAGTATCTGCGACAATGCCTGTTTTACTATAATAATATTAAAAATCATTTAAATTTTACCGCATGTATTTTAAAAATCATTACTTGATATAAATTAAATATTTTATTATTTGTTGGTTATTAATTTATTATTATTTTAACCATTTTTTATAATATTGCAAAAGCTTAACTTTCCCCGTTGTTTTAAGGGATGTTTATTTATATTATTTCTGTGCTATCGATAGCCCGATATAAAACACTGGCAATCCCTGAACTTCCTTCCTTCTCTTTGGTTCACGACACGAGTTCAAACACCCACACAAACATTACACACGCATACATCCATTAGCCGGTGCACGATTGAAAAGTCAAAATAACGGCATCTACGAACTCGCATAAACGTGATTTCATTTTGCAATATTTAAACTTACACTCTGTATTAAGGTTTTAAAGCGATTGGTTGATACCAAAACCATTATATTTTTTTTAAACATTGTAAGTATGATTATTTGTCATGACTAAAAATGAACAAAAATCCGAAAATTATTAATTGCAATCAAACAGAAAATGTCGACAAGTTCAAAGCAAGTGCTCGAGACTGAAGTGATCAAAGAAGAAAATGGCGCTGGCGCTTTAGAATCAAAGCAATCACCGAAGGAGCAACGAAAATGTAAGCAAAAATATTTCCTTTTGATGGATAATGAAACTACTAGTCGGGAAGATTTCGAAGAGTCTGATATTCAACAAGTGCTAACACCTGTTGAGAAGGCAAAATTCGCCATGCCTCCACCGCCACCACCGCCCACTCCTGTTCAAGCGCAGCCACGGTCAACGTCAGCGGCAGCTGCAGCATCGGCAGCGTCGCCGGACACCGAAGATGATGACGAGAATTCAGAGAAATGGGAAGATCCTTGTGCACCACCACCTCCGCCACCGCTTCCAACAAATGCAAAAGCCATTTGTCAGCGTTATGTCAAATTGACGGCAGTCAAGTTAAAAGACGCACTGGAGGAGGCCATTACGAAAATGGAGAGCAACAAGCGGGAGCAGCAGCAACGAGCGAATTCCGATGTGAGTTAAATAAAAAGCAACAACAACGCAAAAGTGACAAATTTACAGTTATGTACTTACAGTGCTCACTTGATGAGTTAGGCGATTTTGTAATAATGCGTATCAAACAAGAGAAAAAAAGACTAATTAGAATTTTCAATATATTAAGCTTGGTGCGTAAAGCGTAGATTTGGCATATACATTTATAAAAATATACTTGACACATCACAACTTAATATTGTAGGAAATTATTTTATGAGAATCATTTTATATATATTTGTATGTATATCCTATTTAATTCCTTATATCAAAAATTTAAAAAAGGAAGAAATCAAGTTCTAAAAAGTATCTGTTTCGCTTGGACGCGTTTATTTAAATTCTGCATCTTCACAATTTTATTTTGATCAGGTTAACTTTTATTTTCCTGTGTACATCTATGTATGTATATTTTTTCTGATTTGATTATTATATCTGTAACTTTGCAGCTGTTCCAATTACTTCATTTTTTTTAAGTCTTACATTTACTAGAAAACAATAGGAGCCCTGTTTTATATGCTCAGATTATTGCAACAGTTTTCCAAATTTATTAAGTGTATTTCATTCATTTTTATTTTGTTAACCTCAATAGTATAAAATATTCAAAATATAGTTCATGTTTTTCAAAGAGCTGCAGAATCAGCAATCTGACCGTATACAGTACAACAATCGTTTGACTTTAGAAATTTTTGTTTTGGAAATGATATTAAAATTAACGTGTCTGAATTTTCGCTAACATATTCTTGTAGGAAATTTCACTGGTATTGCTAATTTTGTTCTAAACTTCATAATTATCTCTTCCCAATTTTTTTTTTTCTGTGCTAATTTTGTTGCCGTAAATTGTATTGCTCAATAGTCGGTAAAACACGTTCTGCCTGAAGCTCAAAGGGATGCTGTAAAAATGTCTCCCACGTGTGCAGTAAAACGTTCGGTTAACCCGATTACAGCCATGATTGTACATCCGAAGTGCAACAAGCCGGCCGTCATCCGTAAACTGGAGAGAAAGATGAAAGTTGGCAAGTTGATGGCCAAACAACTGCAAGCTAAGAACTCCATCATCTCGAAGGACGCCATACCTTTGCCGCCAGCAACAGCCCATGAGGATGAGGCCACTCAGGGCCTGATGACAATGCAGGTGTTGTCGGCACGCGCTTCAACACCTTATACACAACCAACCAGTCTGTTATCCTGCGATTTGCATTTGAGTCCACCTACAAACCAAGCCAAGACCATTGGCAAGAAGCAGCTGACCGAACAACAACAGGCTAATAGCCAAAAGCTACGCAGTTCCTCGACCGCCAACGGCTTAAGCAGTCAGCGACTGTCGAAGCTACGTAACACCCAATCGACTGGCGTATTGCCCGCCAACAAATTGGATGGATCTATGTATCATTATAGCCGTCAGAATCTGTTGGAGATTCGTAATGCTATGATCCATGCGCTGATACATCGTTCCAAGGAATCGCTGACCTTTAGTATGCCACGCATTGCCACCTGCGATGACATCGAACTCGAGGCACGTCTACGTCGCATGAACCTGTGGCGCAACGCAGACGGAACATCCATTGTGCGCACCTCCAACAGCTTTAAACCACGTGTCAATCTCCACAATCCTAATGAGTGCATGCCCGCCTTCTATAAAAACAGGAATAAGCAACAATTGATCACCGATGAGTCTATCATACAGAGCCAGCCACCGCAACCACAGCAAGAATTTCAGGTAAGCTCTCATTTCATATGTACATACATATATTCATGTTCATATTGAGCATGTATATTATCATGCATTTGTTTATAGTATATAACCAAGTTAATCTAGTGCTCTTTAATCTGATTGCATTTTGATAAGACTCGTCGTTATGCCAAGCATTTATATATAGCTGATATATAATTATATACTATATAGTGTACCTATAATTATTGGTAAACTATATTTGGTATAACGAATTCCTCTTATTATATATAGGTACAATTAGCCATAAATAAGAAGCCTAAATTAAAAGTAGCCTAGCCTCAAGCAACCCATATTTAGTAATTTTAGCAAGAGCCCCTTTTGAATATGGTAGTAAATATTTTAAATATTACATTTGATATAAAAAAAGTAACGGTCACTATGTTCAATAGCCGGACAGATGGGCAAGAGTAGATCAACATAAATTCTATATAAATTACATATGTACTTTGTGTCATATGATTAGCATCATATAGTATTCCAATACTATATGCACATATGTACATATAATCTGTATACACACATATTTGGGCATTCATACAAGGCAACTCAAGTGTTATGTAAATAAGTTGAAGGCGTAATCTAAAGCCGGCTCACAGTTTTACTATTTGCTGATTATAGGAATTAGTTAGTTCAATACAAATTTGTGGTGCTTTAATTTTAGGTTTAGCTTTTTTTTTTTGCATATTCGCAATTGTATATTTTAATTAGCGCAGCTGGAAATTTTGAAATCATTTGCTCAGATAATGCTTTGTGCCGTCCGAATCCCTCAGTCGCTGTGCCGCCTGCTCTGGTGTCAAGTCACGCTGAGCCATCGCCAGCAGCTCGAATCCGACCATAAATTTGCGAACTGTGGCTGAGCGGAGAAGGGGTGGATAGTAGATGGCATGGAGTGTCCAGTGGGCGCTCGAGGCGTGCGCATGCTCTGGTCCAGTGGGCGCACCATGCCAGCCCATCGAATAGGGGAAGGAACACTTGAAAAGATTATCATATTTGGTGGTCAGCTGCTTGATGGTCACTGCCAAGTTGTGGCGCTGATTGTCGGTTAGATCGTTAATCCGTTTATTGTTATTGCGTGATATGAGCATCGTTTCGAAAGGCCAGGTAGCCCAATAGGGGACCACCACCAGCCAATCGGGATTCTCAATGACAATGCGTTCCTTGCGCTGCAGCTCCCGGTCCACATAGTCGCTCAGCATGGGTCGATCGTGGGTGGCATAGTAGGCGCGTAGTCGTTCCTGCTTCTGCTGTGGCTCTGTGGGCAGGAAAGAGCAGGACCAGATCTGGCAATGGGGATGCGGATTCGAGCAACCCATGGTGGCGCCTTTGTTCTCGAATATCTGCACCCAGGCATACTTGCCACTCAGTTCATTGAATTGCCTAATCCATCTGAAATTTGTGTAAGAGGGTTGAGCGAAGCGCATTAAGGATTATCCCTTACTCACTCATCAATAACAGCGCGGATTTCTGATACACTCATGGTAGGCAAGGTTAAATTCGACTTGGGATGGAAGCACATGACGCGACAATTGCCACGAGCTGGCGCTGCCTGAAATAGCGGATCGTCGCTAGCGGGTGGCGAGGGCACCTGCTCCAAGAGTGCGGGAAAGTCATTGTCAAAGACATAGGTGCTATCATAACGTTCCGTGATGAGGCCATTGGGTCGCTTCACGCCCGGGCAGAGCGGATTATTGGGATCGAATTCGGGTTGCTCGTTAAGTTGCGGCTTCTCCTCCTGCCCAGACCAGGGTCTCTGCATGCGATGCGGACTCACAAGCACCCACTGTCCATTCAATGGATTGAGGCGTCGGTGCTGGTGTTCTACATAAATATAAATTTAAGTATACAATTATTTGTGTCGAGTATGCTGAGTGCACTCTAGAAATGTTATCAGATCAGCAGCGCTCCGCATCGCACTTACCGGTAGCCACAAACTGCATGTTGTCACTGCTGCTATCACTGCATTCACCTACTGCGTAGGGGTTACCTCTGCTGTTGCCTATTTGTAATGGCTGTGGTTTACCGTAATCTGTCGCCCGCTCGGCGAATGGAGTCCACGGGACAGCACAATGTTAACTGGCGCTAGCAGCGTTTTAGTTTTTGTTTTTGTTCATCTCCGACTAGCGCTTTATGCATATGTATGTATGTGTGTATGTATGCACATACACATGCATGTACATACAATGTGTTTCGCCAAGCACAATTTTCATTTTACCTACTCTCCCTTTTGTTTTTGCACTCAGTTCGCTTAGCACGCACATTCGCAAGTTTACTTGGCGGTTTATCAGCTCACGCTTGCAATCTCTCTGTCTCTCACACAGCTGGGACTGTAAATATATGTAAATATGTGTATGTGTGTGGGTATGTGAGAGCTTCACAGCTAGCGCCAGCTGCTAGCGATGTGCAATCTCGTCGATTAACGGTGAATGTTTCTAAACAGTTACACAGTTGCCGCACACAATTTAATATTGTCGTATGAATTCGCTGTCACAAATTCTTGGTACAGTAAAGCATCGCTAATACGGAAACATAGTATTGACTACCCTTATAATTAATTATAGCAATAGTATATATGTAGATATTATGTACCTTAAATATTACATATGAAATGTGTAACTTATTCATATTTTTGAAAGCTATTATTTTTTTTAGCAGACTCTAGTGCATTAAAACTGTTTTATAAGATAAGCAAAAAGATTAGAAGTGCTTATTTACATAAATTTGTAAATATGTAAATATGTACTCTTAAGCGTTTGTCTACTTAAAAGTTTTTATATACACATACGGTGATTGCTCGACGAAAATTCAAGTTTACACTTTTATTTGCAAATATTTGCTTAGCATTATATTTTACTATTCAAATATTTTCTTTGGCCTACATTGAAGATTTAATAAAATAATATTGGTCAAATAAGTATAGTTTACTTCAAAACAGATTTTATATCATAAAACTCTTTCGACAGGATCCGGCTATTGTTAATCAGAGACGCATTGGGAGCGGACGTCTATCTCATACGAGATGGTCTTACAACAACAACCATAACAATAATAACAATGATTACAAGTCCATTCATTCATATAATAACAATCATCAGCCAAATTCCATGGGTAAATCTCACATGGGTGATATGAAATATCAGAACAACAACAACAACTCGAGCAACATGACTGTTCTCAAGTTCTTCGATAATGGTGAGATTAGCAGTACGCAGTTGAATGGTACACAACTACCGAATGGCCGCCCGAATACGCCCATAATGGGCATGTCTAATAATAGTCGTTCCGAGAACGAGAGCTTGAAATCGAATGAGTCTATCGAGGATCTGAATCGGGCTAATGAGACTTCTGTCAAGCCAGTTATGACGGGCTTTTTGTTCGTTTCCAAGTCTAGATCACGCGATGCGGACGAGCGCCACTATCGTCGCTACAGAAATCAAAATGAGGAACCGGAGTGGTTCAGCTGCGGTCCTACCTCTAGACTGGATACCATTGAGCTGTGTGGCTTCGATGAGGACGAGGAGAAATTGTTGAAAGAAGGGGCAATCGACTCGAATGGCGACTCCATAATGCAAAAGCATAAAGTAAGTGGGATAATATATGAGTTATTTGCTATAATATATTTTTGTACTCTTTCATTTGATAGGTCGAGCCTAGTAAGTATAAATGGCAGCATCCTGATACAATTGGTCGAAACAGTAGCAGCAGCAGTAGCACTCACAGCAACGTCGGTGGCAAGTCCATTTCAAAGAGTGACAGTAATAATAATAGCAGTTCGTTGGAGAACATGAACAAAATACATTCGGCTGAGCATCATAAATATCAGCATCAGCAACAGCATCAGCAACAGCATCAACATCAACATCAACATCAGCCGCATCAACCGAAGGACGAGAAACGTTACAACAATCGTTCGGTTCCGTTTGATAGGCTCAAGCACAATCAAAAGAGCTTTGATAACAATACTTACGCGCGCGCCGACGGCAACTATCAGCAGCAACATAATCATCAGCATAAGCAGCAGCATCAGCAGCAACACCAGCAGCAGGGATCGAACAACAATAGCAATTCCAAATTTATGTCCTTCTTTGCACGCGATCGTCAGGATAAGAATGGTTCATCGTCATCATTGAATGACTTCTTCAGGCAGGCCATGAGTCAGAGCAGCAGCAGCAACATCAGCAGTAATAGCAATTTGGAACAGCCGAAGAGCTTGGGTTTTGTCAATCAAATGCCATCTGTTGACCAACTGGAGGCCAAATGGCGTCGCAACTCGCTCGGCAATATGGCAGATATTCCAGCAGCAACAGCGGCAGCAGCCGCTGCAGCAGTCGCTGCTGCCGTAGCCCATGTTGGCAACGACAACAACAATAACATCAATATTAACAATAACATCAAGCAGGCTGATAATTTCCAAAAGTTAATTGGCGCTCTGCATGGCGCCAAGCCGCAAATAGTGCCGCCTCAGATGCCATCACAACAGAGCCAAATGGGAGCTGATGCCATTTCGAATTTCATCTTACAACAGCAGCAATATCAGCAGCAACAGCAGAAGCAACACGTGCTCATCCAACAGCAGCAGCAGCAGACCGCCTTCCTGGCCAGCCTGCAGCTTAAGGCCATACTGGGACGCGCAGATACGCAGCTGTTGCTACTGCGTCTGACCAAAGGTGAGTTTGATTTTAAGCTGTATTTGTTAGTAACAATATTGATATGATGTCGTTTGCTGTAGGGGAAATTTCAAAGCATGGCCTGCTAGTGCAGTTGGCCAATCCTCGTTTAACCACCATGGATCGCGAAGCCATAACTGCTGTACTGCAATTTACAAATACTCAACAGCAGCAACAGCAGCATCAGCAGCAGCTGGAGATGCTCTCGAGTACAGTGATTGCCAGTCAGTTGCAGAATCTACACAATTTGGCTATTGTTCAGCAGACGCTCGCAGCGCGACAGCAGCAGCAGCAGCAGCAGCAGCAGCAGCAACAACAGCAGCAGCAACAGTTACAGCTGCAACAGTCACAGATGCAGCCGCAGCAACTGTCGCAAGAGGATCTGCAGGCGCATGCCAACACCATAATGCGCAATGCGGTCATGAAGCGTAAAATGGAGGAGCAAACCTCAAAGTTGCTCAACATGAATGTGACGGCAACGGGCAAGCAACAGCAGTTGCAGCAACAACAATCACGCTCCCAATTGCCGGCCATGCTTGGAGCGAGAGTTGGACGCCAGGATTCAACATCAAATGCGCTGCTGAATGCGCTCATTGCTGGTAAAAGCCTACCAGCAACAATTAACGGTAGCTTGGTGTCATCCCAGCAGCAGCAGCAGCAGCAGCAGCAGCAACAGCAGTTGTCGGCTAACTCACGACGTTTCACAGAAGGCGCAAATTTCCAAATTGGGGAAATGTCCAAGCCGGTTGGACAGTTTCTTTCTTATCAACAACAACAACAGCAGCAGCAACAACAATATGCACAGCAACAAATTCTTAATCAACAAAATACTCAGAGCAACATCAATCTTAATTTAAATAACAATTTTAACAAACCTCAAAATCAACCACAACAGTCTGTAGCAATGCTGTCAGCTGGCAGCGGCGGAGGTAAGTCCGATATTAATCTATAAATCAATGTTTACCTCCACACATACACATACATCTCGTCTACCTAGCTAAATTGAAGGTGGTTTTACATTTTATAACCTGGGTTTTAATCGCTCGTTATATCTGACGCTAATCTTTATCATATCCAATTTCTATTTATATGATAAAAGCATTTTTTAGAGCTACAATTACAGAGTATATTATTATTCAACATGCCGTATACAGAGTTTTATGGATAAATTCCTTGAATGTCTGAAAACACAAAAACCCCAAACTTACCTTATACATATTTAATTGTGTATTCGGTATTATCAGGTTTTTTTATGTGTAATTTCCGTTTTTGTGTCCCTCGGGCTTGCAAAAATTACGCATAAACTTCGGAAATATAAATATTTTGAATACCACAACTGCATTGAGTTTACAAATATCGTAAATGAGTATTATTAAGTCAAGCAGGCCTGACTAATATTCTTATTCTTACAACAAAAATTTGACTTTTCAATATTCGACAATGGGTCAAAAACTTATTATGGTTCCTCTTGGATATATCTCTTGAGGCGATATGCAATAATATATTTTAAACATGTTTTGTACTGGGAAGTTTATCTGTAAATCCCGATTCTGGAGAGGTATATTTGGCATTTTGTTCCCTATTTCCCTTGTCTATTTAGCATTTTCTGGTTTTCTTTTATTTTTTTAACTTCAAGTTTTTTTTGACAAGGGTAAACACGTTTTGGCCATTAAAATATTTAACTGTTAAACAAATATTAAAGTGAAAGCACAAATACACATAATGTGGGCGACCTTTATAATATACATATACACATATGTATATATACCTTTGGGTAAATAATATGAATATAATAATAATCATGAATCAGTTCACACAAAGTAAAGTAAACTAAGTGCAGTTTATTTATATTTGCAATGCTTTTCAGTTTTTATATTTGAAGTGACTCAATGAAATAAATATATAAAGAGACAAATGTGGAACTGAGTCTGAATATTCCATGATAAAGGTAGAGTTTATGTCATTCTTGACAAAAAAAAAAGTTGGAGAATATTTCATTCATAACCCAATGTCAATTATAGAAATATTGGTATTCTCATCAAGTTTTATTTTTCTCAGCTTGAGCTAATTTTATTTTAATATAAAACAAAGACATTCTTGTTTATCAACTTCCTATCTAAACACGTTTCTGAAAGACGAGAAATGTTTATTATGAACAGAGCTTTGTTTTGAAACACGATGGAAAGTTAGTTTAATTATTTATATATATTATAATTGAATTTATATTATAACTTTATGTAAATGGAATGAGTAAAAATTGCAGAGCTCAGTTTTCTTTCATTAACAAAAAAAAGTAGTGCTAAATCGACGTCGCTTTGCCCAGAACCAGTTTTTTATGCAATTCATGTTTATTTATATAAATAAATATACTCGTACGTTAGGTATAAATATTTGAGCAGATTTCAGTATAGCTCTTCGCAAAATGGAATGAGATGATAAGACCTGTTAATAGAATGGAATATTTGTTCGCAACTCTCAATAGATGAAATATGCAAGTTTTGTCAGTAACTTGTTTACGACACAAATAGTTTCATCTTCGATCTTAAGTTTCTAACGTGACAAGCTTTGAACAAGTTGGAAGCGAGCAGAATCGACTGCTGAATACTCGCTCTCAGCTAACTGAGAAATCTAAATTTTATATGTCCCAATTGGAGAAGCAGGTACATACATACATATATCTGCTGACTACTTCATCAATTGCGCGATCGAAATATTCGATTATTTGTTGCAATCGAATATGCCTTAAATAAAATATATTCCAAATATGCTCACTCCTAGCAAGCGTCTCCAACACTTAAACATTAGCTCCTATCTATCTTTAATAACGAGGAATTCATTGATTATAAGAAATCAATATACTCTTATTTGCCTCGTGCACAAGCATTCAAATGTTACTTAATACCAATTTGTTGACAACTTAGCAGTTAATTAGAATTTATCAGTAAATGGTTGAATGGATTTTTCTGAATTGATTGAACTGCTTACGTAGTTTACCTATAAAAGAACCTTTTCCAAATAACTGCAAATATACCATGAACAGGGGCTCATCAAGATATCGGGATCGTGCATTGACTTTTCTAATTGTTATATGGTGTTAATGAGATTCAACACTCGTGAGTCATTCGGCGCTTAATAAGTGGGTTTTCATGCTTGTGATCTTTGCCTACTTACATATTTACACATACATAAATATGTGTGTGTATATGTATATATGAACATATTTGCGCTCATACATCTTGAAGCGCAATTGTTGATTGTGCGGATTAGTTACGTGTGGAATTTCCATGACTTCTATAAGTCATTCGTGTATTAATTAGTTATACAAAGCTATTGACTGAAAATGTATGCGTTGAAGATGCCGATAATATAAAACCGTATAGGTAGGATAGAATAGCTTTACAATATTATTGCTTGCTATCAAATAATGTATTATTTATATTCTACAGCAAAGCTTAGTCCGGGTCGTTAAGAAATTCTGTATAGTTTTCCTAGATTATGCTAGCCTTGTACTCTTATCAGTATAGTCTTTCCCAGTCATTTCATTCGAATTTAGATTATAAGACAAATATTCTGTGCTGATATAGGAATTTTTTGCCATACAATGGAACACATTTTTCCACACTGCAGTTAATCTACTCCGCACTGTGTTGTAAAAAAAAAATTATGCATATTATGATGTGTATAAGTACTAGTTTTTGTTTATTATTTATGTTACTCTGTAATCAAATAAGCATATCAAGCGCGACGCTTTGTAGTCGTTCTCATTCTCTTGCCTTAGCTTCTTAGTAGGGTTGATGGACTTTGCCGGCGAACAGAATGTTGCCGGTGGCCTCCTCCTCGATGAAGAACACAAACGGGCGATTCACATTGAACTCGACAATGGTCTGGGAGCCGCCGAATTTGTTTTCTATCTCGACGACGGTGGCGGCATAGGCTTCTGTGCCCTGCTCGTTGACGTCGATGCCAGCCTTCTGCAGTATATCCGAGACTTTCACCTTGCCGGAGACATCAGCGCCTCGCGTCAGACCTGGCAGTGAAGCGGTCGTCTCGAAAATCTCACGTACGCCCAGCTGTTGGAGTGTGTCCTTGAAGCTGCGCTTGTAGTCAAAGTGGAATTTCGGCAGCGTCACCTTGACCTTGACCTCCTCCATGGCCCACTGGGCGCTCTTGACCTCGTCGTTTTCCAGAGCCTGTAGCAGCTCATTGATGCCGTCCGTGGCATGCGGCAGCAGCACAAACATCGAATTTTTTCCCTTGTACGGCAGACGCAGTATCTGTGCCCTCATCTTGTCCGAATTGTGATAGTAGAAATATTCCGTTTGCTCCATATACTGGACGCGCGTCTGGGCATTTTGGGCACGCAAAAAGGCACCCTCATATGTGTGATAGAACTGACGGCGCCACAGACCCTTGAAGTAGATCACGTTCGTCAGCAGCATTACGCATTCCTGAACGGTCTCCGGCGTGACCAGATTGCTTAGTCTTCCATCGGTGACATTGCTCGCCCACTCGTTGATGGCATAGGCCGCCGCCGGAGCATTGCCAAAGTCCAGAGCTTCAATATCGCCGTCGTAGAAGTGTTTCAAGGTGGCTGTGAACTTTTGCTGTGTCTCGATAAAGTTGTCCGTGAAAAGTTTGGTTCGCACATTCAGTGTGTTGTACAGTTGATTCTCCTTTTTGAACGAGTTGAGGGTCTTGCGATAGAACTCGCGCACATTGTTCGCTGATCTGATGTCTGGCTGGGTGCTTATCAGCTCTTGCTGTGTCTTTGTATTGGTGCCCGATGCCTCCGAGAGCATCGCCAGCACCAATTTAATGGAGAACGGCGATATAATGACATTATTCTGCTGCTCCGTATCGTTCAGTAGCACCGCCTTCAGCAGCTGCCATGAGAAGTTGTCATGTGAATCGCTGCGAAAGGGCACAAATGTATCGATGTCATCATAGGATGCTGCAGGCAGCGGCAGCGGCAGCGCTGCGGTCGCTCCACTTGGCACCTTATCGGTGCGCGTCTCGAATACGCCCGTCGGCGTTGTCGCAGTGGGTATGGAGTTGCCCTTGGCATGATGCGTTGAGGCGCCAATTAAGAGCATCAGCAATGGTAGCCAATAATTATGTGAACTTTTCATGATGTTTGTGTACATATTTTCTTTGATTTTGTGTGTGTATACGTGTGTTTTCACTCCTTTTCGCAGCGGCGATAGCAATAGAATTGAGCTTAAAGCGCAACTTGGCACTCAGCAGCAAAATTATGGAGAACCGTTTGGCGCACAGTTCCAACTGAGAGTGACTCAAAGCTCGCTGAGCGCAGGCCATTTTAAAAACCAGCTTACTGTTGTTTTTACTGCTGCTGCTGCGCGGCTACTGATTTTTCGCTCTATCGCTTTGAAGGGACTCCCACTCACGTCATTATCTTGTCAGCGCTCGCTCTTTCTCATTCTCTCACACTCGATCGTTCTCTGTATCACTTGTTTTAACTGTTGATTGATATGTACATAAATATGAACAAGAATGCTTCGATAAACGTAGACAGATAAGAGTCATGCGATTTGAAAGGATGTCCGCATAGTTTCCAATCGCGCAAATTCAAACGAGAAAAACCCAATAATAAACAATTATTTAAACAATGATATGAGAATACGTCCGTCAAATTACATGAATTGCTTTGATGAGTCTTTTTAGGTGTTTTGGTTTAAGTTCTTTACGCACATATAATTTAAATGAAAGCTGATTGCTATGACACACAGTCGCATGTGGCAACGCTAAATGAGCAGTGTTGATTAATTCGTTAAATCAGCTGTGGTTTTAAGCACACTTTTGCGTTGATGTAACAGTCGCCGGCAAATAGAAAAGAACTGAGTGGTTATATTTTATAAATTTAAGTTATTGTGCAATGCAAATACGTCGTCCTCGTGGTGTAACAGTACCACAGTTAATGGTTGTAACCGCAGTTGGTTTTTTGGGCGGTGTTTATATATGGAAGCCACTTATACTGAGATATAAAGACGAAAATAAAGCACAAAATAGCGAAACAACAATAACAGCAATACCAACACAAACAACAGCAGCACCAGCAGCAATAACAACAAGTTCGACAAAGTGGGAGAGCATTTCTGAATTTATATATGTATTACATGACGACTAATGTGCTACCATTTTCTTTTTCTTCTCAATTTGCAGATGAGCTTCATTAAACAATTTGCCTCAACAACTGTCGGTATGATGGCGATGGCCATCGGTTCGACGATGGCCATTTATTGCACTCACCGTTTTTTTATTCAACCGTATCAGAGTAAGAAGCAGCGTTTGGAAGCCGAAGCCTGTGCGGAGTACATATTTCAACAGGAGTCCCAGAAGCGTTAAAGAGAGACCGAGTATGATGGCTTTCTGTTTCAGAATTTCATAATAATTTTCTATTTACGACCCCAATTGCATACATTTTTAAATAGTATAATAGAAAATAGACTTAAAACGGTATACAAATTGTGTGGAAAGTTTTTTACAGATCCCCAACAATCAAGAGACAGACTTTCAACTAGTAGTTCTCAAGGCTCACAGATGATATTGTTATAGCAAAATTATTTATCTTTAAGTTAATCAAATGAAATTTTATTGGATGATTTATGAAATGAATTGAAATAAAACATAAATGAAACACACGATAATCTAAGTATACACATGTTTACAATTTTGAAATAAAACAGTATAAAAACCAATTTGATAGATTCTAAATTTGAAATTGAATATGATTTAAACATTTATCTTATTGATCCATAAAGCTCTAGAGTGCTGCGTTTTCGTAGCCGACGCGTTTGCTTCTGATTCAAGGAATTCAATTTGTCGCTGGGATAGAACTCCCATATCGAAAAGGATTCATCCATGCCAGCAGCGGCGAGCTTGGTGCCATCCGGACTCCACATCATGAAGATCGCGCCTCTATTGTTATGGGTCAAAATATCCACAACACGATTCAGCGAGGACAATACAAAGATCTCACAGCAAGGACAGCCGTTTTCATCTGAAGAAAAATTATGCTCAAATATTAAATAACTGCATACTACTTGATTTACATTGATCTAAGCCTACCGCATTTATAAATATTAACCAGTAATTCGCCCGTGATCTTGCTGAAAGTAATTGAATTGATTAGGATCTTATCATCGCCTCTCTGATAAAACGAAACAATTTCACGGCGCGGCACATTGAATATGTAAATTGATGATAGTTTCTTTTCAGCTGTGAAGAAATTGAAAAATTGCTGTTTATTATATAAAAAGTTTTGGAAATTTCGGAATCTTCAGCTGCTCACAAATGGCCAGTTCAGCGGCCTGCCATGGATGCCAGTCGAAGACGATGCCGCCCTGCTTGGCGCCCAGACGCATTATCACTTTGTATGACACGCCGTCGAATATATATATCTGACCCTGGATATCAGCTGTAGCCAAGTAGCGTCTCATCGGCGAGAAGCGCATGCAGCAGATCCGTTTCGAATGCTGCCTCAGGACACGCTCGATGGTCATCGTAGAGAATTGTATGACAACAATTTGTCCGCTCCTCGTGCCGCAGAGAATCTCTTCGCCATCCTCACTCCACTCAATGCAGCAGATGGACTCGAAAGATCGAGGCAAATACTTGCCATTGGCAATCAGAAACTCCTTTGGTGATTGCAGCAGCCAAATCTCTAAAACTGAATATTCGAAAGTTTTTAGAAGAAAATATATACATATGTATAACTGAGCAGAGTTTACTTTATATTGAAGTAATAATATTTCTGTAGAAGACATTTTTGACCCAATTGACAAATATAATCCAGATCGTTTTTAGTTTAAATTCATAATATTAATATATATTTATATATTATATAATTAATATATATGATATATCTTATTAATATATACAAAATCAAACGATCTATTGTAATATTCACCTGGATTTTCATCATCCTTGCAGCCAATGGCTAAGTACTTGCCATTTGGTGAATATTTCAGTGAACTCGTGCGTTCGACATTAAAAATCATGCTCGTATCATCACGATTACGCCAGATAATTAGATTTTCGTCAAAGGACAGGGCCATCTGATCATTGACAGACCAGTCCATCATATTGAGATCTATGTCGGTGATGATGATACTATAGATTAGACTGTATATTGGAGACTCTGATATAATCAGTCTTACCAAATGACGTGCATAGCTCAGGCATTTCGTTGGTGGTGGTGGCAAATGCGACGGGCCGGGCTCTTGGTTTACAGAACCAATCGCTGTCCGTCTTCTGCCTTCCCGTCCGTGAGTATTTGCACTGCATATCGCTGAACTGCAGCAAGCGATTCTCTTCGATGTTGAATACTTTATTCATGGTCGAAACAAAGCTGCTCTGACGCCAATAACTCGACCTCTGCGTGAGACTCTGAGCGGAATCAATTTTATAATAAATACATATGTATGTATTATATTTAGAGGTAATATATTACCATTTTCAAGAGATCCTGCTCTTTAGTCTTACCCACATATTTGAGATTGTAATTTATGGCTTCTGGCTTAAAACGCTTTGGTATAAAGCGATCCCCGAATGTAAATTCCTGTCTGTTGATGATTGGTTTATTCTAATTCATTGGATGGGATATTGGTTAGCTTTTATTTTGTTTTGATTTTGTTCTTTTTTCCACCTGATAAAGTTCATTTCGCCAATCCATGCGGCGCTGTTTCATAAAGGGCGGCGCCAAGTTTGGGTCCATCAAAGGATTCTTATTAAAACTTTCACACACATCCATATCGAAGACTAACATTGAATTAATTTCAAATTATTATCCACGCCATATTTAATAATTTATTCGTTTGAGTCTACGATTTCTGTAAAGCTTTACTTAAATAGCTGTAATTGCGCTCTCACTCTCTCTAGATCTTTGACTCTCAACTGGAGTGAGCATAGAACAGCAGCTTTAGGCGTTATACTCATTATCTCTTGTATTCCCTTTTGTCACATTCAGGGTAGGCTAGACCACCTGCATACTTCTTATGTTTGCTATATCATATATAAAGAATTATAAAATATATGGGTATATTAGAGTATGTGTCATAAACATATGTAAGTCTAAATAGCTGAGATCTGCTTTGGGTGGGAGTCAGAGAGAGTGATTCAAGGTCAAGCCTCGGCTGCGCTGCCTCTGTCGATTTCATGGGTAAGAACGTACTCAGAGCTGTGCTCAAGAGTCGTGCTCAATTTTTAGCGGGCATCAGAGGTCCCAATATAAAGGCAAGCCAGTCAAGCGCAGCTTCAGTCGGTTTTCTGCTTACTTGGTGTGCGCACATGAAGTGCTCCTCTTTTCCTTCCGGATAAGTGGTAGGAATAAGTCAATAATTGTGATTTGTAATATTAATATTTTTCATAGTTATAACGAATTCATTAATAACAATTGTCACTGGGCGAAAATTATAGTTATATTTATGTACATATATGTATATTATTTTTTTTAAACATAATTGCTAACACATCCTTAAGAGATATGTATTAAATATTTATATATATCTTGATTCTTTATTTTGTAAAGTAATATATTTATTAAAAAGTAAAAAAAACAAGTAAGAAAGCTCTAGTCGAGACTGCTCGACTACGAGATCCCCTGAACCCTTCGAGCAACTGATATTTCAATAATAATTCGCACATATACACGCACACACACACACACGCATACAAACAAACACACGCACACACACAAACACACGCAT